AAATTTAATTAAACCCCAAGTAAAACTGGAAAATCATTTTGAAAAGAGAAGAGATGAATGCAAAATGTTTTTCATCATTTGACTTTCCATCTCTGCAGTTCAAACCCTCAGCTGTGATTTCAAAGGGTGTTTTGCCACAGCAAAGGCTGAGGGAAACACAGAAAATACTTTCCTAAGTGCCTCCTTTAATACAAGGTGCTGGTGCTCATCCAGGGTAAATGAAATATGGAAACCCACTGAATAAGGCCTGTTAAGGACCTGCACCCACAAATGCAAAGGAACAGAATGAAAGTCCAAATAACACAGTGATCTCCTTGAGTAAGGTTTTGTTGTGTTTAAGGTTGCGTTGTGGTTATTAATTTATGGATTTGCATCTATTTTCCATTTGTTCTGCAGAAAGTTTCATGCAACAAAGCATTCATTTGGCAGAAGCAGAGAAATATCAGTATTGGTACAACCTCGTGTGGGATATTGTGTGTAGTTTTGGGATATCTCTTTGGAAAAAGAAAAGATTAATTTATCCTTGAACAGGTGCGGAGAAGGACTGGCAGAGTGATTAGCAGAACTGAGATCCTATCTTAGGAGAGGAGATTAAAAGAGCTTGGCTTGTTTAGCCTAGAAAAACAAAGGTTAAGAGGGGATATGATTACTTTTCATAAATACATTCAGGGTGGAAGGAAGGGGAATGATTTATGTTAGAGGATAGTATGCGTGAGAGATCAAATAAGGCACATCTTGGCCAGGAATAAATTTCTACTGGAAATTTGAAGATGTTTTCCTGTTGCTGGAGGAGGGAGGTTTTGGAAGGGCCTCCTGAGCAGGATGGATGAGCCCCTGTGGTCTTTGAGGGGACAAATGTGGCTGGCTCAGCCTGGCTAGTGAGTCTGCAGGTGGGACACGTTGGATTTTGCCAAATGCAAAGGAGGGAAGTGTGATATGGCTGCCATCTGATGGCACTTTTATTATTTATAAATCCATAAAACCCAGTGATTTTATTTAATCCATGAATCACTTGAAAGATGCAGGAATGGCTTTTTTCCTCCATCAATATGAAAAGCTTGATTTCTGAGATTTTTATTTGGGAGCTGCCTCCTAAATCACGGCAGATGGGCCACAGCAAGGCAGCAGAGAGGCAGAACAGACAGCTGGGCTCGCTGGTGCTCCTGGCAGTACCAAGAAAAGATGAAACACCTCTCTGCTCCATGTCCCCACTGTCAGGGATGTCTGGTGACACCTTCTCCCACACTCAGCCAGGCTGCAGCATCTCCTGGCTGCCTTCCTTCGATGACACACTTAAGTGAGATGAATCCAGGGCTTTAGGAGTCCTTTTTCCATGTGGCACTGGTTATGTGCGGTGCAATCCAGTGGAAATCAAGACATATGTTCTTCCTCTTGCTTCAGCAATTACTCACAGAGCCCTGAGATGAAGTGAAGCAAGAGGACACACACACACACACACACACACACACACACACACACACACTCTCTCATATATATTTATATAAATACAGAAATCCTTTGCATGGGCAGGAGGATCTCAAGTGACTTGCTGCCAGGGTGTTAATATCAATTCTAGTGTAAATGCATATGTCTGCATGTATTTGCATATATGCATGTGTGTGCATATGCATATATAGCATATTTGCATATGAAAGTGGTATAGAGCCAAACTGACCACAGAAAAGGCAACACAGCATATTTAACAAAATGAAAAAAAATGGTGAAAATATACCCCTAAGACTTAATGCTCCCCCAGCTCTTAATTTATGTGAGTCCTCCTGTCACTCACTAATTACCCCGTTGACTTAACCAACCATCTGTATCGCCAGGCTGCAGGTCAGCTCAGTCTGCTGGGCTCTGGTTTGGGGGATAAAATGCATTTCTGCTGTTTGATCTTCCAAATAAATGAAATCATCTCGTTTTAACTCAGCATCACTAATAGTTCAGAAGTTAACTCATGCTGACTGTTGTTCTGAAAGTATTTATTAAAGAAATTGGTTTTAAAAAATGAAGGTGGAAACTGTAAAACACAGGGAAATAAAGACAAGGAAAATCTTGGCTTCAGCTTGGCCTCGTGAAAATTGCTTGCTCTCAGCAATTATCTCAGCTAATGAAGGATGGAGACTGATTCTCCCTGGTAAGACTGTGGCTGCTGAGAGTAGGGACTTGTGCCTGTGAGGGACCCTGCCCTGCCCCAGCCCAGGAGAAGATGCTGAGGTGCCACCTCCGCACCCCGCAGCAATGCCTGTACTGCTGGGGACACCTTGTGGTGCACGCCTGGGACAGAAATGCTGTGATTTAAGTGCCATCCAGGCCCTGCTTTCTTCATTCTGCACTGATTTTCCCACTCTCAGGGGTACTGGGGCTCTCCTTGCCGGGTGTTTGTAGACAGGAGAGAGTCAGTGATCTATTGCTGACTAACTCCTGGCTCCGAAAGCCCCGAGGAGCTGTGAGGAGGAAGGGAAGGACTTTGTAAAGAGCAGGGAAAGAAGAAACACAGTGAATCAGCAGCTGGAGACCAGTGGAATGATGAAACAACCAACTCTGTCCTTTTTTTTCTAAATGTGGGGGATTTTTGCAATATTATTGGGCAATTTTTGGTATCCTCCAGAGCTCGAGCCCCGTGCTCTGACACCCATGGAGGTGCTTTCAGCCACAGCTACATTCTCAAAGAAAAGAGAGAAGAAGCAGTGGGAAGGTGGGGATGAGCCCAGAAAGCAGTGGCAGTGTGGCTGTCTGGGCACAGCGTGGCATGAGGGATTTGCAGCAGAAAAGAGAAGGAGTCAGAGGTGCAGAAAACAACCTGTCCCTTGGGGATGACCACGTCCTTTCAGCTGCTCCCTCCCTGTGTGCTCCTGACATGTCTGGGGTGCAGGCAATGAGATGGGGACCTGCAGTGGGTAAATATCCTCCCTCTGTGCTTCTCCTGGCTAATCCCTGTAATTCTCTGGCAGGAAACAGAAGCGAGCCTCACTGATCTTGGCAGTTTAAGGCTGCTGGGAGTCATGAATACACCCAGGAGGGGACAGGGTATTTGGGAATCCCTAAAGCACTCCTCAAGTTCTTACTGGGCTTCCTGAGGACTCGTTGCTGCCAGAAAGAGGCACAAGCAGTGCTCTCCTCTGCCCCTGCGAGCTCTCTGCTGACAGCACAGCTGCTTCAGCAACAACTGCATTTATTTTTTTTTTTAACCCAGCTTTTGCTTTAACAATTTTTGCACAAAAAAAAAACCCAAAACCAAACCACCAAAAAACCGAAACCCAACTGCTATTTTTCAAGTGATTCCAGCAGCAAAGGGAGCAGATGCTGAATGGAATCACACGTGCAAGGAGTTTGTGTGTCCTGCGTTTGCAGTTTCCAGTGTGTTGCCATTATCCCTGAGCATTCTCCGAGTGAAAGATGAGGAGAGAGCAATCACCACGGCCTGTTTCGGTTGAATCAGCAAGGAGGAGTTTCAGAGCTGGCTCTCCACGAATAATCCCATTCTCCCAGGCAGCTGTCTTCTGCAAAATGAAAGTGCAGACATCTACAGTATTACCCTGTGCCTGTTTGCAGAGTCTGCTGTTATCACGTTAATGAAGGGAGCTGAGATAATCACCTTAAAGCATAAATAAATCTCGGATGCTGATTCACTTTCTCCTATTGGAGTCTCATTTACCAGGGTAATTCTTATTTTTTTTCTGCTGCAGGCTTGTTGTGTCTGCCAAGACAGCTTTTTTTTTTTTCACAATTCATCTCCAGAGAACTTGAATTAAGAGGCCTCTTGTTTTGTTCCAGTTATTCCTTCTCATTTTGCAGTCAAGGCCAGTCCAGACAATTTCATTTTATCTGCAGCATCAGCCAGTGCTGGGTGGCTCACCTACACGTGAAAACATACACACAATTTTAGAGGATAATTTCTCTCAGTCTTAGGTGACAGGAGACACATTTTCCCCAGGTCACCGAAGGAGCCCACATGGGTGTGTAAAATTAAAACTCGTGGCCCAATGCTCAGTTACAGGACAGAGATCCCTCATGATGAGAATGACAAGTCAGATATTGTGAAGTTACACAATATTCTGTGTTTTCTTCAAGCCCCAGCCCCTGGAATCAGGTGAATCTGCATCTCACTTATTTATCCCTCAGTAAATTCACATCTGGCATTTAAGCTTGCATAAAAAACCAGAACCATAATCTGAGCATGTGACTAAGCTTGGATATTCATTGGCTCAAAATGAAAACTATCAACCACTTTCCACTACAATTTTTTTTTTAAAAATTATTATTATTATTAATTATTATTATTATTATTATTTTTCCTGAGTTCCCGCTATTTCTTCCCCAGTTCCCATGACTTTTCCCAAGCCTGGCTAATGATAACAGGACATCTGCTGCTGGCCAGGCTCCACACAGGTTCGGCTGCTGGGCCTGAGCCAGCAGCTCACTGGCACGGCCCTGACGGCACCGGAGCTGGGACAAGGCGCTGCCACAGCGCCATAGCACTGGCACAACTGGGACAACTGGGCCATGAGCTGGAGCAGCAGGTGTGGAGATGAAGCCTCGTGTTGGAACAAGAACTTTGGGGAAGGCCGGGAATGGAGAAAAGCATCCGCGCTGGGATGGGGAGATGTTCCCAGGGGCTGCGCCATGGGAAAAACCAGAGTCACAGCCTGCGCCTGGTCCTGGTACGTGACACTGAGTGTGCACGGCAAGGTTTTGGTGGCGGGGTGGCTTCTGGGAGAAGCTGCTGGAAGTTTTCCCCGGATCTGATGGAGCCAATTCCGGCTCCATCCCCGGGACTCCCCTCACGGAATCAGCCGTGGTACAGTCCAGCCCCCCGCGCCGGCTCTGCGTGGTACGGCCCAGACTGCGCCCCCCTCCGGGCAGCAGTGGTGTGCTCCCTTCCCCCCCCGCCCGCGGCGGTGGAGCNGTGCCGCGGCCACCGCTCAGCTGGGCAGTGTTTACAGCCCGAGCGCGCCGGCCTGGGCTGAGCCGAGCCGAGCCGAGCCGAGCCGAGCCGAGCCGAGCCGAGCCGAGCCGAGCCGAGCCGAGCGAAACCGAACCGAACCGAACGGAGCCGAGGCGAACCGAAACAGGCCGAACCTAACGGAGCCGAGCCGAACGGAGCCGATCCATCCGTTGAGGTACCGCTTTTGTCTAAAATGACGGAATAAGCTCCCCTCGGCTGCTGTCAGGGCAGGATTGTCCTGGAGGGGTGCTGGGGGTGAGCAGCCGCATTCCCGTGCCCTGAGCACGGCTTTGAGCCCTGCCCCGAGCGGTGTTGCTGTGCCCGGGCACGAACCGCTCCAGTCCCACTTGTGCTCCAGGCGTCGGGCTGGGCGCTTGGTTTGTTCTGGTTTGTTTTTCTCCAAGGGGAAGATGGCAACGAGGAGATGTTTCAACACGCAAAGCCACCTCTGATGTCTCTGTTTTGGGCAGCGGTCCGAGTTTCTGCCTGTGGATTTTGTCCCTGCTCAGATTTGGGGGAAATGTCTGTTTTGCCTTAGGAGGGAGGAAAATGCGCCCGGGGCTGGCTGCGGAGGGAGAGAGCGTTGTTTTGAAAAGTTTAATAAAAATAAGCTCTACTTGGTTCCCATTTCCCACCAAGTTAAACAAAGGTGTGGGGTCACATGAAAAAAGGGGGTTTGAATGTCAGAGTTTTAAGTTCCGCCTATAAAACATGCATTTTACTGGAAGTAAGTGAATGCCCAGTGCAAGTGATGATTTCAGAAGTGGCTGACACCTGTCACAGCACGGATATTCCTCAATCCCATTATGAAAATGTCTCATTTTCATGTGTTTGTTGTTGTTTTCCATGGTGTGGAAAATGGAAGAGCACTTGTTGTCCATGGAGCTGAGCAAAAACCAGGTCAGACCAGTTGTCCCAGTGGGGCTTGCGTACATCAGCAGGAATTTGTTGGGGATCCAAAGTGGAGCACCGTTAAAGACACAATTCCTATTTGTGCTTTAAATCTAAAAATGTAGATTTTTAATTTTTTTTTTTTTTTTTTAAATAGCAAAAGGAGTGAAAGAATGAAGGAAGCCTGAAAACAAAAATATATAAAAGAAAGTCAAGGGAATCAAAGATCCTTGGTGAAGAGAGTATTTAATGTGGAATGTTAAATAAAAAAAACAAAGATATAACCAACTATGTTGGTTGTTTGTAAGTAAGAGCAGAGGGAAAAAATAATTGGTAGATTAACCCACCTGAACCTTCAACCTGATGTGTTCCCACTGTGAAATAATTAAACACAATCATATTTTCTAGAGAAAATGAAGGAGTAGCTGTAGAAAGGGGAGTGGTGGCAGTTTATTTCAACTGTTATTAATGGTCTTGAGCTGGATTGATGTGTTTGAAACATGAACGGATTAAGAACTGGCTCGAGTTCCCTGCCTAAGTATATCCTGTTTTGTGTGCCTCTCCAGGTAATCAGAACAGTGTGTTATTTGAACAACTGTGAAATCTCCGTGGAGTCCTGTAGCTTTGCTTTGTTTCCTCAGAAAATGAAAGTGTATAATTTGCTCTGACTGAATGTAACAAATAAACCCCAACAATTTCGCTGTAGGCAGATCTTCTGATCCCAGGGAAGAACTCCAAAGCTGCTGCTTCGTGGTTATTACTGTGAGCAGGGAAGGGCATTGTAAATAAACATGTCTCAAAAATCATATTGTGCTTTCTGAAAAGGATTTTTTTTTTCCTTAAGATACGAGAAGGGGAGAAGAAGCCAGGATAATTTTGAGTGGTTTTGTTCCCCTATACGTTTTCCTTTAAAACCTGTAGGCTGCAGTGGGAATTCTCTCTGGAGCTGCTGTCTGTCATTAAGTGCTTTACTAATGGTGGTGGCTCAGGCTCTGGAGATGAGCTGTGTGAGAGTGCATTTGCTAAAGTGCATTTGCCAAAGTTGACAGGTCAGAGTTTTGTTTGGTGTTTTGAACCTCTGTGCAGTCAATGTCCTGATGCACATTCAAAGGAAGTGCAATTTGAGATTCTTCTGGATTTTCTGCCTGTGTCTTACTCTCTTCAGGTGCCTCTGGTGCTGTTAGAAGTAGAAAGTTTGTGTGTGACAGGAGCTCTGACAGACAGCCAAACTTGCCCTGTTGTTTGGGCTTGCAGTGAAAAGTGACCCCTAAGCGCAGGAGCTGGAATAATCCTTTATATAAAAGGGTTCTGTGGAAAAGCTGATGTGCTGGTAAAATGGTGGGAGGGTTTGAAGACAGGCCTTGCACGCTGAAATTGCCTATTGTGATTTTTTTCCCCACTGGTATCAGGTACAGGATGCCAGATCTGCTGTATTTTGTTTTGTGTTGTTGCGATGGGGGATGCGAGTGCAGGGGTGAGGTTTTTCTGGAGCTTATGGCCCTTGGAGTACGTAAAGACCTCTCTCAAAGTACTATCCCATGTGCAGCAGCATAATTTAGTGTTGGAGTGAATGTTCTGTACCTCACCTTGCTTTGTTGGTGTTTCAGTGTTTATAGGAGGCTGCTGAAGATGGGAGGCGCGGTGAGTGCGGGAGAAGATAACGATGAATTAATTGATAACCTGAAGGAGGCCCAGTACATCAGGACAGAGCTGGTGGAACAGGCATTCCGAGCCATTGATCGGGCAGATTACTACCTTGAGGAGTTCAAAGACAATGCCTACAAGGACTTGGCATGGAAGCATGGAAACATTCATCTCTCAGCACCGTGCATTTACTCAGAGGTGATGGAAGCTTTGGACCTGCAACCAGGGCTGTCGTTTCTGAACCTTGGCAGTGGCACTGGTTATCTGAGTTCCATGGTTGGACTCATCCTGGGTAAATACCTCTTCAGTCACGTTAACTGTTTGTGCTAGAGCTTTAAAAACAGGTTTTCAAATCAGGGATGAGGCATTCCTCCACTAATGAAGCTAAAAAGGTAGCTGGGAAAGTAAAGAATGCATTAATCCAACTCAGCAATTTATCAGGATTCTCACAACCTTCTCTGGAACTGGATGGGATCCAGATTTCTGTGGTGGATCAGAACAGGCAGCAATGTAGTTCCAGAGGTGGCTGTAGTGGATTCCTGCAGGTCTGGACACAAACCTGGGTTTGTTTCCCCTTAAGCAAGACTGAAGGTCAGGATCAGGAGTACAGAGTGGGACTGAGCAAGTCCACAAAAGCTGTGAGTGTACCTGGTTTGTGTTCACAGTCCTGTCTGGGCTGAGACATGTTTGAGATCCACTTTTGACTCTTAATTCCCATCGCACAGATGGGAGTATTCTCTACAAAACACTTCAGTGCAGCAGAGCTGATGTTGTGACCACATCAGCAGTGGCACAAAGCAAATCATCCAAGTATAACTGGGCAATTTAAATTCCCCTGCAGTGTTTCAGTCAGAGTTGTGCTGCCAGGATAGATAGCAAGTGGCTATAGGGTACTTATTAAATTTTGGGGGAATGTCCAGAATTTTAACTTCTGGGATGTTTATTCTCAGCGTAAAGTCTCGTTTCCCATTTGTGATTTCCTCCTAGGTTTGTTGACATTACTTAGAATACATATTGGTATATGTTACTCCAGGGCTTTTATATTCTTTTTCCAAAAGTTACCCTGTCAGTTCTGAATAAAAAGCATGACTGCTGAACAACTTCTGTATTCTCCAGTTTGTTCTTGCTGTTAATTGAGGTACAGTGTATAATGACTGTTCCTGATTAATTGCAGAGATTTTTAGCATATCAGTAAGGGGGTATAAAAATAATAGGGATATGCTAAAACATGCAGGGCATTGGGATTTTTTTCCAGGTGGTCACTCTCACAGCAGTGGCATCAGTGTTTCCCTCCTATAGTGAAGTTTCCTGCGTAGTTAAGAACAAATGATCCAGAATCAGTTGTGCAGAGAGGCTCTTTTTGTTGCCAGAAATTGCAGATATAGGGTTGCACATCCCATTGTAGCAATGAGAGAGCTGACCCTACACAAACACCGAGTCTGACACACATGGAACAATATGCTGGAGGAAGGAACCCAAAGTGCATTAATCCTGCTGGGTTTTGTGTTGTTGCTGTTGCCATTCCCTGCTGTTCTGCACTTGCAGGTCCTTTTGGGGTTAACCACGGTGTGGAGCTTCACTCTGACGTGATCGAGTACGCCAAGCAGAAATTGGACTTTTTCATTAAAACAAGCGACAGCTTTGACAAGTAAGAGTGCGAAATGCCTGTTGGGATTAATTTTGTACTTTTGGCTTTACTCAGGTCAGTTCTTGCTCCCCTGTGGTCCCTCTGGATTCAGGGTAATCTGAGGATTCAGGCTCCTTAGGCTTGCTGAGCTGCAATGTGTGACCTTCGAAGCCTGTGTGTGTTGTGGGGGAGTTTCAGAAATGTTTGCCGTGTTTTTAATAGCAGTGCTGATGTTGCAGGGCTTAGAGGGAGCTGAGGAAGTTTGTTTATTTTTAAATGCACTTGCAGTAACAGTTTAAAACTTGTAATTGACAATACTTGGTTGTGCTTGTGATCTGTGAGAGCCTGCATAGTGACGAGATTATGAGCTGGTTTTTGTGGTGGCCTAATATGTTTCATCTGAGAAGAAGGAAAAATGGCATTTTAAAATATGAAGGTAGTTTTATGATGATTAAGTTGGTACTAAAACTGCCTGAGATTTGATTTATGTTCTTCCTTAGACCCTCCATTCTGCTGCTGTCACAAGTAATAACTTCCCAGCTAGATAACTATTGCCAATAGTAACCTCAGCAATAAAAGTTGTGCCTGTCACATTTTTGGATCTGTTTCACAGTTTGTTCAAATGGAGAAGCAAAGCATTTGTGAATACCTGCTATCCTCCTCTCCTGGAAGGAAGAAAATTAAAATCATGACATGCAGGATTTTAGGCTACTCAGCCTTTGGCTGTTCCTGCTGCCCTGGGAAGCTGCTGAGGAGGGGGTTGTGTTTTCTGCATGCTGGCAGAAGACTGAAAGTTTCTGGCATGGATGGTGCTCAACAGGGTTTTTTTTAGTCACGTTGCTATTGTTTGAGGAGATGTTTTAAGGAAGACTTTCTTCAGACAAATACAGCTATGGAGCAAAAGCGAGCTGAATTCAGAAATCAACATGCCTGGAAAATTGGCTTTGTTGAGTGATGTCTGCTGGGTTGTGCTCCTGGAACAGCATGTGCAGGAACTGTTCTCTGGCTGCTCTGAATGTCCAGCACTCTTTGCAAACCCAGAAAGCTCCAGGAAGCGTTTAGGAATAAATAGGTGCTATGTTGAGCTGCTACTCATGAGACCAGTGAAAGAATGAATGTGTTGAACAACTTTTACCAAAATCAGCCTTTAAATATAGGGCTTAAAACTTAGGGAGTTTTGGAGCTTGTAAAAAAATCAGGGGCATCAGAGAAACACTCATTTTTCTTTTAAACTGAGTCAGAAATACTGTAGACAAAAAGTCTTTTTTATGAAGGGTGAATTCACAGTTCTTTTGATGCTGATGGCAAAACTTCCATTGGCTTCAGCACAGCTTACATCTGTAGCATCAGGTGCTAATTCCCCACATCTGAAAACCAGTTAAAAGCCTTTGAAAATATAAAATAAACCCAGGTGCAGTTCTTAAAATACCTTGACATTTGGAAGCGCAGGTCTAATATTTGTATTTGCATATTACAGCTGAGTCAGCGTCAGGTGACTAAAAATAGCTTGTTCTGAAGAGCTACATGCAGCTCAAGTATGAAATTATACATCCATATCCTTTGGAGATTTTAATCCATGAATTCTGACCTCATTGTGCTGTGATTTGGAGACTTCTAACTGTTACAATAATGTCTAGAATGGGTGGGCTTTGGAGGGGAAATCCTGTAAAACTGTGGGGTTTTTCCAGGTGTTTTCCACAGTTCAATTTTTCCAGAATTGTGAAAGTAATTTATTCAATAAATTGCCATATTCTTTTCTAATGCAAGTCTTTTTCATTTTCAGGTTTGAATTTTGTGAGCCATCCTTTGTCATTGGCAATTGTTTAGAGATTTCTCCAGACTGCACTCAGTATGACCGTGTTTACTGTGGTGCTGGAGTCCAGAAGGAGCACGAGGACTACATGAAGAACCTGTTGAAAGTTGGAGGAATTCTTGTCATGCCTCTAGAAGAGAAGGTTGAGCACCTTTTTACTTATATTTTAGTTATTCTTAATTCTGATCTTGGTTTAGTCAGTAGCCGTTCCTTAATCTTCCCCTCGTAGGAGGCTGAAGAAAGAATTAAGTGCACTGGTTTTGACTATGATTGAAAACTGATATTTAAGAAATTTGTAGTTCTGCAGTCTTCCATATATTGCAGTCTGTTGCTAATTGCAATTTTGCTTCCACACTGCAGAAAATGTGAACAAAGCTTTGTTTAATTATATAAAATTTAGTGTTGTACCTAAGGGCAAAACACAACTTTTTGCACCCTGACTGGCTCTTGAAGGATGTCTCCATTTACAAGTGTCAGTGGATTCATTTTAGTTAAAAGTGGGTTACGTGCCTGACCTTTTACCTCTGTCAAGGAACGTGAGAGGAGCAGGGTGCAGGGTTTCTTCCCAGTAAGAGGCTGTGCAGTGGGCTGGGGTAGGAGATTTGATCTGGAGACCTTTTCAGGAGTGAGTGTTTGTGGTGACTCAGGAGTTTTCAGAGGTCAGACACAGTTGCTCTGGTCCAACCTGGAGGGAGATCTGGGGAAGAAAAGTGACCCAAATTACCAGTGCCCATGCTCCACTGCACTAGATGAAGTTACCTGGGGCTAATCCTGCAAGAAGTTCCCATTTAAAAAAAAAACAAAAACAACAATGTCATTTCTCCTTATCACCTTTTACGATTGCAGCTTCCAGTACTTCAACTTGTTGAGGCAGGAAAGTAATTTGTTCATTTTTTTGTTCAAAAATCTCATTGTAGTTCCCACAATGGACAATAATCTCCTTGTTTTGCTTCAGTTGACTAAGATAACTCGGACTGGTCCTTCTGCCTGGGAGACAAAGAAGATTCTTGCTGTTTCTTTTGCACCTTTGATTCAGCCAAACCACGCAGATTCAGGAAAATCGAGGCTCGTTCACTTGCGTGAGTACAGACATTCCTGAGCATGGAGGAGTTCCTTCTGCTGCTTGCCTGGGAGCTGTAACATCCCTGGCAATCCTTTCAAGGAAAACTACTCCAAGTCCTTCCTTTTTTTGAACAGTTGTCTGTCTTGTGCAGGCATTGGAGTTGAATGAAGTAGATTCTAAATCACAGACTCACAGAATGGCCTGGGTTGGAAGGGGCCTTAAAGATCATCTCATTCCAATATCCCTGCTGTGGACAGGGACAGCTTCCACTGGGCCATCATTCTAAACACAAATGTTTTCTTGTGAAGTTGTACCTGAACTTTGCAGGGTGTTTTATCCTTTATTTTGCACATTCTGTTCCAGTCCTGAATGATTGAATCCTGTCGTGGTTCTCAGGCACTGTGCCACAAGGAGGGGAAAATACACAAGCAGGACCTGTGAACAAAGGTTGTATCTACTTAAAGACTCTCAGCCCCAGCAATCCAGAGTTATCCTGGACCTGGAATGCTTGAGGGATACAAGTTGTGCAGTTGGTGAGCTGGTTGAAATGCAGGTCGTATCAGTGGCCCCAATCTTTAGATTAAGACTTCAATGTCAAGAGGCCTCTTAAGAATACATGAAGACAGAGGTACTTTCATAAAGAGATTAGTCAGGCTTTGGTCTTAACTTGGAAAGGTGTCTCCATGACAGAGAGGAGCTCAGGAAACAGTCCACAGCATGCTAGAAAGTCCAATAAGTGCGTGTTTCAGCACGTTCTCTCTTTGTAGTGAGACCTGCACATAAATTATATGTAGTTATTTTCTGCTTCTTTCATTCAGGTCCTAGGGAAGCTCACTTGTTGGCAGAGGACAGGGACTTTCTGTGTCAGTTTTAGTTCATTTTAATTCATGGGTCTGTGTGCATCTGTACATTTTTAATTTTAACTTTTTTAACATTTTTAAAAATTTTTGCTGCATTTCTAGGCTGGCAGCAAATAAGTGCAAAAGACAGAATAGTCTTCCAGGCCATTAATGTGGGAGGCATTTTAATACAGTAACTTACTGTAATGTTTCTATAATTACTTCTACAAAATGGTTTCCAGCCTGTCTTCACCCACTAAGTCTGAAACAGTTTTTGAAGAGCATAAATAGTACTTGTGTTTTATAAGTGCAGAACTTGGCAAAGCTGAAGGAACTGTACAATAGAAAAATGATTTTATGGAAGAATTAAACAGACTTCAGGTCTAGTTACCTACCACAGGAAAATACCTTGTTCTGAGCCATTAAACAGTCACAGCTCCCACCACTAAGTCTGCATTCATACAGTCTTTAAGATTTACATCTTAGAATAATTGACAACTTGAAATCAAGGCAGGAAATTTTTTAATGAGAGAAACACACAATTAAATTTTGTTTGGAAAGTTGCAACACAATTTATCCAAGTTGACAGGAGCTGAATAGAGCTGTTTGTGTAATCCCAGCAGGGAATTCAAATGGCCTGATTTAATCTGAGCAAACAGAACTTTTCCTGGGAGTAGTTCTCGGGGAGTTTCTCCATCTCTGCTGACGCGTTTCGTTTGGTTGCAGCCCCCGTGGCCGTTCGCAGCCTGCAGGACCTGGCTCGCATTGCCATCCGAGGCACCATCAAGAAAATCATCCATCAGGAGGCGATGAGCAGAGCTGGGAACGGGCTGAAGAGCCCCCCCAGGTTCAAACGGAGGCGGGTGCGGCGCCGGCGCATGGAAACCATCGTGTTCCTGGACAAGGAGGTGTTCGCCAGCCGCATCTCCAACCCCTCGGACGACAACAACAACAGCGAGGACATGGAGGAGGAGAGGCCTGAGGAGGAGGAAACCAAACCCTCTGAACTAAAGCCAGACCCTCCTGTAAACTTTCTGAGAGAAAAGGTCTTGAGCCTGCCTTTGCCTGATCCCTTGAAGTATTACTTGCTTTATTACAGGGAAAAGTAGTTTTCCTTCTTCTAGAAATTGGAAAGTAGGCAGAGAATAAAATATTCCTTAGGGCTTGACAAACATGTCCCACTTGCTTGCCTGCAAATGTGACACCCGAGGCAGTAGGCTGGCTGGGGAATGTGGCTGCTGTAAACTTTGACATTATAGCTTTTTTGAGTTCCTTCTTTCTTCTCAGTTGTGTGCTATAGTTTTATCCTACAGCAGGGATTCCTTAGGAAGCAAGTTGGTGAAGTGCTCAGCTGCTTATGGAAGGGAGGATTTAATTCCCTCAAAACTAACTGCAGGAGATACTCCTAAAAATCTCATGGCTGCTCTACCGAATATCAGTTGGGAAAAACTCCTAGGCAGTTCCCCAAAGACCTTTCCTGTCTGTGCTCTCTCCCACTAAACCTGCTATGTATGTGCCATGGTGTGTGTTTAACGGAGGATGAAGATTATTAGTTGAAACCTGACCTGGCAAATCACATTTCTTCCAGTAATCTGAAAAGCACAACTTTTACAGAAAGGAAAGAATTTTTGGCATTACCCTTGTGGCATCCAGGTTTTGAATGAGAAGGAAAGCATCAGCTCCCCTTTGGTTGGTCTGTTTTGCCTGTAAATTATATATAATTTTTCAGTAAAAAGTGTTTTACAAAATAGTGGTTTTTTTAGTGGAAAATACCTGTTCCAGAGAAGGAGTTTTTGTGGGTTTTTTTTAAGCAGTGGAGGCAAGTGAGGAATTGCAAAGCTTGACAGGATGCAAGGGTAGTCACTGTTGTCTCTGGAAATGTTTACAGAGTAATTCTGAGTAGGGAAGAGGGTAGAGAAGAGCTGCAGAGCAGTGAGTTTGCACAGCTGAAGGCAGCATCCGTGGGTTTTGCTGTTGTGTGAGGTAACCCAGATCATCTGGGCTGAGCAGAGTGAGGTGTAGAGCACCAGTCTGAGCAGTAAATCAGTCAAACAGAGTTTTGTAGAGGGTCTGCAGAACCTGAGAGCAGTCCAGAGATGCAGCGTTCAGGTGTTGCTGTGTGTGTGCCCCTGCTGTGGCAGGTGGCCACAATACAACTTGTTCACTGTTCCACAGTGGCGTGAGGCTGCTCAGCACAGTAAGTGATTTTATTCCTGCAGCAATGAAGTAGAAATTTTAAGAGGTTCATATGGAAGGACTTGGCACTCTGCAGTTCTGTGGATGTGAGCTGAAATTTTTATTCCCAAATCTCTCTGTCATGGTGATGTAAGGAGATGCCGTAGAATCGTAGGATCACAGAACGGTTTGGGTTGGAAAGGACCTTAAGGACCATCTTGTTCCAATCCCCTGCCATGTACAGGGGCACCTTCCACTAGGCCAGGTTGCTCCCAGCCCCATCCAGCCTGGCCTTGAGCACTTCCAGAAATGGGGAGTCCACAATGTATGTGGATGATAAAATACTGTGTTTAGAAGAGGTTTACTTGGTTCAGCCTGTTCGGTAAATGTACCTAAAACCTAAAAATGGTAAAGGCTGGAAAGGAACCCTGGAGTTTGTGTTGATGTGAAATAGTCCTGAAGCTGGGGGGCATGAAAAGCTCTCTCAGCAGGTAATGAGGCTGTTTTAAGGTATTGCCCCATCAGAAGCTCTTAAGTTGGTATCACTTGGATATTTTTCAGTTTTTTTAATGTGTGCTGTCTCTTCATTTTCTGAGGAGGAACGAGTGAAGACTGTATTGCCAAATGGTCCTGAGTTGCACAACTTGCTTCATGAAAAACAGTTTCAAAGTTCTGTGTGGCTTTGAAAATAAATGAATAACTTGTATGTCTAAGCTGAGGTGGAGAACTTTTCCTTGCTTAACAGGATTTTTGTGTCTCTTTGGGAATATTGTCTGATAATCCTGTATCATGTGGCTGCTGGCCTGTAACACAGTCACAGGCTGGGTTTTGCCTTTGGTTTCCTGTCTCCACTTCTGGTCTCAATGGTAGCCCAAGTTACCTTGTTGCCTTGGATTTTGATTTCTTTATTTGCAGTGGGGCAGTTGTTGTGGCCACTGAGCTGATGGTTTCCTGTAAAAGTGCACGTCCCCATCGTTGGATTCTGGCAACTCCCATAAACTTCTTTCTACAAATGCAAGTCCTGAATGTGGTGGTAAATAGAGGGTTAATGGAATATGTGTGTAGTTATTCTCAGTGCTTCCCTACAGGCTGTGGCCTCTTATTTGTTGGAAAATTCTGCTTGATGGGTGTCATGCCAGGTATGTGCCTTTCTGCATTGTGGCACAATTTCCACACCCCTCCATAGTCCAGGGTGCCTCCTGCTTTTGGCTACCAGGTCATCCTTCAGTTTAATCACAACATTTCTAAAGAAGTTGCTTTAAAAATGACATTAAACTTCAGGTTCCTGTTAGTAAGCCTTGCAGAGATTCTGTTAAAGCTGACCAGTTGAGGGAGGATTATCTTTCATTTATCCCTTGTTAGGTTTTTATCCCCATCCCAGCCCCAGCTGTAAAAGGTATTTTATCAGATTTTTCACCAGATTTGCCTTTTTTATTACATTTGCTAGATTTTTGTAGCTTTCTATAAGATGCATAAATACTGCTATTTTTTTCCTGGATAAGGTTGAATAAATAAATAAATAAATATATATATATATACAGGAAATTTATGTTCTAGGTTGTCAGATTGTCCCCTTATCAAAAAAAAAAACAACTCCACAGATCTAAACAGATAGTAGAAATTTTATGTATAATGTAACTCTGAAATAGTATTGCTTATGGCCTGTAAATAAAAGGCAATTGTAAATACATTTTCCCTGTGCACAAGCAATTGCACTGTTGTTTTGTAGCCATTTCTAATAGAGGGATTGAGGCAGAGCGGGGTTTGTATGGATCTGTGAGCTGTCCAGGAATTGTACCTGCTTTGTTTCCTTTTGTGTTCTCAGTAGTTGTCACTTTTTTTTTTTTTGTATGTGACTCCTTTTAGGTTTTGATCCTGCAGCAAATTTGCAAAAAGAACTGAACTTCAAGCTGCTTTAGTCATGAGTGTGTAAGCTGAAAAAAATCTGTGTAAAAACGAGTTCAGTTGGCCTGAGGCATGCAATTTAAACTTCATTAATAAGTGTTTCTGTATCAATAAATTCAGTAAAGACTTTTTAGCCTTTTTAACGTGGCTTTGCATCATGTTGTGATTAGAATACTTCATAGGTAAGTGCTTATATACATAATTGAAGGTCAAGACACAAAAAACAGCAGAAAAAATGCTTAACAATGTGGTGCAGGTGTGTAGTTTTAGATGAACTCCTCAGAATGTGATCTCTCAAACCTGCCCAGATGATGAGTTCCAAACCTTGCAGTAATGCAGCTGTGCAGGATGAATTTTGGGATCAGCACACACAGGACTGATCTAGACTTTGATGTGTCAGAGTGGTTAAAGAATGAACTTAATTCCCTGGCTGTTTGACCTGTAAACAACAGGTATCAAAATGTGATTTCATCCATTTCTGTGCTTTAAGGAATTGCCTAAACCAAACGTGTCAGGAGTTTGTTCTGTGCATTCTGAAGTGCAGCTCCCCTCTTGTCCCCTGGGCTCTGTCTGAGTGTTTAATTAACGTGGATTTTTGAGAGCGGGTGTTCAAGGCTTTCATTTCTCCAGTATTGAGAACAATATTTTGGTTTCAGCTGTGGTAGGAATCTGATCATAATAGCAAATACAGCTGTTGCTAATTAAATGAATCTATTAACCTTTATTCCATAGGATAATTGCCTGTCTGTGTGTTTCTTCTTGTCATCTGTGTGTATGATAAATGTCCTTTTCCCAGCTATAACAGGAGATTAGTTCAACGTTAATGTTTTCCTTCACGTGATGCGTGCTAAAAGAAAATACTTCTTTTGCTGAAGGAAAAGGGACAGGAGGGAGAGTTAAAAATAAAAAAAAACACCAAAGGGTGAAGGGGAAAAAACCCCCACCTGAGGGAACCCCCACAATTTTCTTGCTTTCTACAGGTGTGAAAAGCCTGTGCAACAGAGGCTGGAAATGCTGGAGCATGGGACACAAAGGTTGACATAATTCCTGGTATTCAGATGAGTTTTGGGTCTTGCTGAGAAATGCACACTCCTTTTTAAAGAATTTGTCATGTTGATGGAAAATCAGACCAGTTAATGTGAGAGTAAGGGGCCTGGGATGGCTGGTGTTCCTTAACCCTCACCAACATCCCGTTTATCATGTCGGGAGATGAGCAAGGCAGGTGGGATGTGCTGAAGATCTGCTGCTCAGAAAATGTGTGGGTTGCAGAACTTGCCTTCTTGTACTGAAATTATTCCCTGTGCTCTGTTAAATCTGCTGACTTTGCTCCAGATCCCATTCCTACAAAGCAGTGGGCAAATACCCCTCAATCCATCCCCCACAGCACAGCCAGACTCTGAAATGCAATTCCACAGGCAGGACTCATCCCACAGAAATGGGACAGCCCTGGCCCAGCTCTCCTCTTTGCAATACAAATAAAAAGGGATTTTTTTGTTGTTGTTGCAGAGGGTTAGTTTAGAGCTCAGTTTATGCACCACAGAGGCAGAAAGCAAACTCCTCGTGTTTGCAAAGTGGCCAGATGTGCCGGGGGAAATGGTGGCTCCAAAATAACTGAGACATGGTCTGCAGAGAGCGTTTTTGTTTATCTTCCCACTCTGCAGAACAGCTCCTAGCAGCTGTGCTGCCCTGTCCCAGCAGAGCCCAGGGTGCTTCGGAAGGAGCTGACATGGGGGGCAATGAGCCTGGAGGAGAATTTCAGGAAGATTTTCACACAACCAGCCTTGCCTGGTGCACATGGAGGACGTGCTTCTAATTCACTTAGTGCCTCAGGGGAGTTAAAACCTGGCTTACTCAGCAGAGCAGTCTGATTTCAGCTGCCAGTTTGTTGTATGAAGGCTCAAGGTGGTAATTTGGATTTTTGCAGCCGGTTTTTGTGAGCAGGCTTGGCTGGGTTGGGGTGGGTGGCCGCTAGAGGACACTCTGCCCAAAACTATGAGTTCAGTGAGCTTGCTTTGATTTCCAAGGGATGGTGGGGCAAACAAACAGCTGATTGCCTGAGGAATAAGTGCAGAAAGCCTGCAGGATAATTCTCTTCCATAGCTGGACAAAAGAATACACGTTTTACCTTCCATGGCATGAAATTTTAAGTGAAACCCCAAACCCAGTGCTCTTCTCAAATGCTCAAGTGACAGAGAATCTGAACCAGGAAGGTTTAAATGTCATTCTTGTCTTCTTTGCCACGTTAATTATTTTGTAGTGCACAGTACAAAGCAGATATGCAGGTTTGGGGAAGCTTTCATTTGACCTGCCAGGTTGTGTGGGATGGTGCTGTGTTGGACATTCCTCAAGTACATTTATATCCCAAGGTGTGTGAGCCTCCCTCGTGCTCAACCCATCCATTCAGCATCTTGGGTAGTAATAGCTTGAAACATAAAGATAAGCTGGTTTCACTGTAGCTTCTCTATAAAGGTGATTAATTCAACTGGAAACAAATAATGCCTTTTGCACCTCAATTTTATCATCCAGTGGGGAGAAACAAATGGAGGACTGTATTTCCTAAAGTTCAAATTCCATTGATTTCATGGGGTTTTTTCCCCTCTTTACCCCTCAGTTGCCTTGAATTTCTCAAAAACCCTGACGCTTTTCCTAATGATATCCTTGTTGAAAGAAATTATACTTGGTCAAAGACCTTTGAAATGAATCAACTTTTACTCTGCCTAAGAAACTTTACAGATTCCAGGGTGGGGTTTTGGTTTTGTTTGCAGGTTATTTATCTCTGTTAGTGATCTCTGTTTTAAAATCCCTTATCTGTTACATCCCTTGCCCACTCGATGGTTGGAGGCGTATTTTTGCTTGATGTTGTAACTACACTTAACAAGAGACAGCCTCTACCCTGAATGTCTTACAGCACAATACATTTGTCAGGCTGTTAGATAAGACTCTCTAGTTTGCAGAGTGTGCTAGGGCAAAAAAACTTGACATAAAAACCTTGTCCCTGGATCTTTGCATCCCAGCTCAGCCCTGGAAGCACGGGGTCATTTTTTGGTTGCTGTCCATGGAGGTGCATTGTGCTTTCAGACAGATTCCTGAGGAGAAGGTGAGGAGTTAACTTGCAGTTTAAAAGAAGCAACAAGGCAAAAATAGATCAAAATGAAGAATTTGTATTTCAGCGCCACAATTGGAGAGGGGTGGGGACAGTGTGATCTCCAGTGATGTGCAGAATGGCAAGAGGGTGGGTGGTTGGACTGTCAAACTGCCTTAATTTAATTGCAAACACATGCTGATGAGTCCCCTCCTCCTGGACCTCGGGGCTGGGAAACTTTTTTTGTCAGCTCCCTGCAGCTCAGAATTGAGGCAAATACACTCCAGCAAACACCATGCTGATCAAACCTTCAGCTCTTGGAGGCTTTTTGTATTTTCTCCTCCTGCCTGGTTTCTCCTGCTCGTGCCCCAGCCGCTGCCTGTGCTTCAGGACTACAGTAAGATGCATGCATCTGATGCTGGAAACCATCCCCGAGGTCCCGCCCCAGACAAACATTCTGTGAGTAACCACTTCATTTTCCTGCCTTTCTTACCTGCAAGGTCTTCAGAAAGAAGAGAAAAAAAAAAATAAAAAATAAGGCCAAAGGCATACTTTTATCCTATTTTCCCACAGAATTATCTGCCTCGAGAACTGTTCCGTGCTTTTAAAACACGAAACAGAAACTGCTTCTTTTGGCATCAGTTAATTGTTAATGGGACAATCAAGGGAATTGAAAAATTTAATGAGAGTAATTCCAGGGCAAGCGCTGGAAGACAGTTTTTGGGGAATTAAAGGTCAAAAATGTTAAACTGAGCTTATGGAAAGGAACACAGTTTGCATTTTAGAAGCTTTGTATATGGGTGTAGCGGGGAGAGGAAATAGAGCAGCCCAGGCTTTTGTCTCCAGTGACATGAACACTTTCCTTATATATACAAAACCATTTCTCTACTGAATTTTTAAGTACTGGTTTTCCACTTTCTACTTGAACTGTTGAAACCAAAGTTAAGGCTTATTTGGAAAGTAACAACTGTGATAACTCACAGATTCCTTGAGAGATAAGAAGGTGAAGGAGCTGGTGGTTGAGTCTATTTAAATGGGGAAGGTGGAGGAAAAGGACATTGAAATCTTGGAGACCCCTGAAGAGCTCGTACTGATAGGTGCAGAAGAGCACTTCCCTGTGATTCTAAACTAATCCTGAGTTTAAAGGTGGCTTTAAGATGCAGTGACATGTGACAAAATCCTTCCTTTCATGCTACTCTTATCTGATCCCTTGTCTCGGATGACCTTTTTTTTGTAAATAGTTGGAAAGACTTGTCAAAAATGAATCTTCATACTCATCCTCCTCAAACTGCTGCCAGCTACAAAACTTTTCCAACACGAGTTTGAGCAGCTTTTCCCTTTGCTGATAATAAACTCAATTTTATCTCAGCTGGCACATCCATACCAGCATTTCTCCCAATAGCATCTCGCTAATATTGCTAATGCACTTTCTCTGCTGGCAGCCAGAGGAACGTGCTGTGGGCAGGATGCTGGTGTTGGGCTGCTGCCATCCAGGGCTGCTTTGGTGGGTGGAGACCACAGAGGGTCTTGCACTGGTGGCCCACAGAGTGGGATCTGCACTTGCTACGACTGCCAAAGCTTTCTCTCTGCCTGGGCTGGTGCTGGAATGATTATTTTCAGTATGACCCTGCTCAGTACTTGCTCACTGGTCAGTGCTTATGTGCTCTTACAGTAACTTGCAGCATCTGACTCTTCACACTCGTTACCAGCCTTTTTCTTCCCCTTATTCCCCTGCATCTTGAGATATTAAAATATTTAAAATACCCTGACACTGATTTTAGCAAAGTGACGTGTTCCTCCTTGTTTAAACCTAGATTTTATTGAGGGAAAGGTTTATTCCATTGGCTGAACTGAAGTATTTCTGAGATCATTGAAGCTTAATTCCTTCTCTCTGTTTGAAATGAGGCAACGTTTGCTGTCACAGTGGAGCCTGAGTGTGTTTCTGCTAAATATCCTTCGAGTGCAGAGGGGGGAAGTTTACTGTGTCACCAACTCTTTCCCAGTTCTGGGATGGTGTGGTTCCAAGTTTCCTCTGGTAGCAGCACACTTCATTCTCTGCACCACCTTGAGTGGGAAATTGGCTTTTAAAACATTAAAGAAATAGTGTAGGTGTGAGATATAAAAATTGCAGTATTGCAAAGGAAGATGATTCTTCATGAACCAGTATTTTTTAAGGTGATTTATCCATTTTATGCTCTTTTACCACTGTCTGCATAATTTTAAGCAAACCAGATATTGATGGTCAGAGATCCTCATAGACATAAAGACAGATGAGCCTGGTGAGTGCTCTGTGTTGGCAGATCATGGGCCTTTGTGTGGCAAGGAAAAATCCTGACTGTCAGGCTATCTTGAAGATCTAATGTATGCAAACGCATTTCCCTGCCAGCATCCCATTTATATCTGTTATAAATAGCATTTGAATAATTAAACTTTCTTTGAATTGTGGAAGATCAAGGAATGCTTCTTAACCAAGCCCTGACTTCTCCAGCTTTTTTGGTATGTTAGTGTTTCTCCTGGGAGAACCCTTGTGTCAGACTGAACATTTGGAATTATAGCAAGAATAGTCTTGATCACGGAGTTATTCTGAGCAGAAAATGTGGGATTGGGATATTTTCCACAGTTAATCTTTGGTGTGAACAGGACTGAGTCTGTGACTGCAGCTCCAGACACGGATCCCAGGCTCCAGCTCGGTTCCCTCGAAGAACAGCTGCAGTTTCCAGATGGAGTTTGCTTTGAAGTTGGGAGTTTGGGACTTTCTGACCTCCACGACTCCGTGCCACCCTCTCTAAGAATCCTGGAAGAGTGGGGAAGTCTCCTAGCTGGCATAGGCTGTGCTTCCCCATTGGCAGATGGCCCCTGGGGCTGCAGCCAGCTGGCAGCACTCGGAGCCGCCCATCGCCTTCCCTGAGCGATGCTGGGATTGGCATGAAACCAGCTCCAGGATTGATGAGCTGTTACTGGCTCCTCTTGGGTCACCATTTCCCTCCTCCCTTCCCAAACCCAGCTGGGTACAGCTGAGGATCTGGCCCAAAGTCTGGTTTTAGCAGTAGACTATTTATCTTTGGTAGTGGAGTCTGCTTGCTTTATCCTGAGCAGGGACTGGGATGGCAGGAATGACCATGTGTACAGATAAGCCATAAAAATTCACGGTGTAGAACTGCAAACGTATTTTGGCTGGTGTCTGTTCAATTGGAACACGATTATCCAGATGTGATCTGCTGGTTACCTCTGGGATTCAGGCAGTTCTTCCAGCCAGCAGCCCAAGGAAGGGAACAGCTGTGGAACATACACTCTGAAAATTTCAATAGGTCTTTAACCTTCGCAGCCATTTGTTCTGCAGTGTGACATTTAAAACAATAAGCTTCGAAATGTGTGGGCATGGGTAGAAGAAATCCATGGAAAGAAGTTCCCCTCTGGCTGGCAGCTAATGGATTGCAATCCAATTATCCATGGGTTATTCTTCTTCCTGCATTATGCAGGGCACGTAATGAATGAGTACTGCTGGAGAAACATAGCTGAGGGCTCAGGGCAGGATCTGGGATCTGAACACATCGCTGGCATGAACTGAAAGTGACCCAGTTGTTCACAGACCTGGTTGCTAATTGGGCAGTGTAAGCATGGCCAGCTTGACAAGTTTTGTTTCCCTTCCTCATTGGGCTGCTTTTGGTGCCTGCTCAGTTCCTCTCTTCCTCCCACAGGAGGAAGGCTGGAGTAGGAGAGGGTGTAGCTCTCTTAGTCTATTAATGAGCTCTCACGTTTTGAGAAGGAATTTTATACATTTGTTGGGGAAAGGTTTACCAAGCAAATGAGTTCTTGGAAATGCTGATCTGTTTGTGGTCTCTGTCGTGTGTTTTGGGTTGAAGAAGGGATTACTCATTTCCTCTCTGTGTGATAATCTTATATGCAGCCATTAAATGCACACCCACACATTCTGCATGTGCCAGGTAGAATCTCTTTCTGACTTCTTTCACTATAGTATTTAATCCTTATTAAACCTTCTAGAGGTGACCAAGAAGTTTATGTTCTATTTTTAGAAGTCTCTTCACTGGCAGGAAAATGGGGAAGGGAGGCATTTCAAATATATTTTCCTTCTAGAAACGTTCCAGCATCTTTTGATGGAAGCATCCTAAATCTTGTGATCGTAGCTACCTTAGGTGTTTAAAATCCTGCTTTCACTGAACTTCCCAGTTCAGCATCTGGTTCCCACCTGAGTATTTGTATTTTTGTTGCCCTCATCTCATCCCTCTCCCCAGAGGGATACCAGGACTCTTTCCTGTGCTCTTTAAGGAGAAGTCAGTATTTTTTAGTGAAAGTGTGTGTATTCTGGGTAAAAACTTTAATGATCATGCTCTTAAAAAAATGGGAGACTGACACTTAAACTACGTATGACCCAATATTAAAGTGTTTATTTTACTTCCTTGGAATCAGGGCCAGAAAAAACTTCAGGAGGAGAGAATTTTTTCTTCCTCTGATGTAGGCAGAATCTTGGATAGATGGTACAAAGGAATTATTAGGTCAAGGGAGTCGTGCTGCTATGGATGCCTGAGAATAGACCCAGATTCCTTGGGCAGGATCAGACTCTAATTTTCATCCCACTGCTGATAAGTAATAGCTCAAAATATCTAACGTTGATGAATTCAGCATCTTTTTTATGTAATCTGCCTACTTGAATACATGTTCAGGACCAAAACTATGTTTTGGAGGTATTCCTTGTTCCTACCTTTCCTGGAAAGAGCTAAAGGGATGCCAGGTGATGTTTGAAATGATTCCACCAGGAATGAGGCACCAGCAGATCCCTCCTGCCCTGGCACTGCCTTTCAGGTATATCATTACCACCAGTTTACGTGGACAGAAAAAGTGAGATCAAACCAGCTTGGTGCACTGGTTTATGGGTTTATACTGGTTTTATTGGCTGCTGGATTATGGGCAAGTTCCTGCCCCAGCTGACGCAGAGGGAGCCCTTTTGAAAATCTGACTCCTGTCTGTGGGAGCTGAAATCTTAAAAAGCTGGATTCAGGAATGCCTGTGGTAATTTCTTAATTAAAATCTAGTGTTCCTGAATCTTCAAAATAAGTGGTGTGGCAGTGCAGCAGGGAACCACAGCCTGTTCTGCAGAGTGAGGCTCCCTGCAGCTGCTCGCTCTCCACTCTTTCAACCCTGATCCCATCGTTTCATTGCCTTGTATCTCCATGCTCAACATATTTTCCTTCCTCTTCAGTCTTTGAACAGTCAAATCTCGATGTCTTAAACTGGTAAGGCCCAAAATAGCCAGGACTTGGAAAATCCCCAGCCCTGAGCCTCCCCATGGTCTCCTCATCTGCCTCGCAGGGCTGGCAGGGCTCAGCTGTCCATGTAAGGGGTTCTGGGATGAAGGCTGTCATTTATTAAAGCCATTTGGGGACTCGTGTGGGACAGGGACATTCCTGAGTTGGGGAACTGATGACAGTGAGTCTGGAAGACTTCATTTCCATCTCAGCAAGGCAGTTTTCCCTTCCTGCCAGGACTGGAGTGGTTTGGCAGGACTGGGGAACCTGCAGAGCTGACTCTGATGTTGTGCAGATAAATGTGAGGAATGAGCATCTTTCTGATAAATGTCCTGGCTTTTCTTGTATAATGGAAACTTGAATTATAGGATATTTTTAGGATGTGTTTAGGATGTCTTTCACACCCTCCCTTCCTCAGGAAACACTGTGAGGAACTTCAACATCTCTGTAAAAGCACCTTCACTCTCGGTGTCACTGTTGGTAGTGATTGTGTGGCTGCCACTTCCCAACCAGTTTTGAGCAGAACCATCAGCATCACTGCTGTGCACAGCTTTGGGAACACAAAGGATTCTTCAATGAAACAAGCCCAGTAATTTCCACAGAACTGCAGTAAAATGCCTCTTGTAGCTAATTATCTGCTTAGTTAACATAGTAATACATGAGTCTGTGAAAGCCTAAATAGATTAAACAGAAGTGGAAGTTTCTTGTAAAAGCCACTGATTGCTTTATATGCTAATCACTGATAATTATTTAACACAAGGCTTGCAGGGATGATTGTTCTGATAGCAGCTGAGAGGCTCAGACAGATTCGAGTGCCATTCTGTAAAAACCCATTTCCCCATCCATGTGCGAATCCTGGCATTCTTTGTAGCCTCTGTTAATAATTCCCAGATTCAGAGAAGGTGACTTATTTCTGCAGCAGATCCTGGATTATCCACATATTCCAGGTCACTTTCCTGTCAGAGCACGAGGGTTTGGTGAGATTTTAAGCTGAACCAGTCAAACAGGCTCTGAGCAGAGGGATCTGTATTGGGTGATGCTGCTGCCCCAGGCCTGCTCTCTGTGTGAAGGTGGAAGAGGATCCAGAATCCTTTAGCAGCAGCTGTTCCTTGTGGGAAGGTCATTTGTAAACCCAGACTGCCATCCTTGAAGTCATGGAGGAGAGTTAAATAACAAGGGGTTATTTTTTCCCCCCATTTTTCGAATTCCCAGGTGGGAAGAAGCTGGCAGGAGGGAGGGAGCCCAGCTGCTGGGGCACGGGCAGCTGGGAGCAGCTGCCCTGGGAGAGGATCCGTGGCCAGTCCCTGTGAAAAACACATTTGTTCCTGAAAAGAAGCATAAATTTCCAGAGTGAGTGCCCTGGGAATAGAGAGGAACAAGCATTTCTGCGTGAGAGGAGACAAACTCTGTCGGGAATGTTCTCAATCAAACACATACAAGGCAGGGAAATCCCAGTGCAGCCCTTGCTAAGGCAAGGTCTGGAGTAAAAACACTACAGATGAGCCAAAGTATTTGGGTTTTGGAATATGTAAGTTCCTCTGCATGCCCATTTCTTTGCTGCACAGGGACATCAACACTGGTACCTTTTAATGCTGTCTGGGTACAGGGAGCAGAATAGCCTGGTCCATCCTCCAGGGCAGGATCCACACCATGTGTGGTTAATGCCTGTCTCTCCTGAAGTCCACTGGGTGTTTTATGAGCCTTGCTAATTGAGATATTAAAAAAAACAAAAAACACAACACCCCTGTCTTCACCCTGGCTTCAGTTTCAGCCAGTGACTATTTGCCTTTTCTATTTGTAGCAATTTCCTGCCACAGTTATTGTATCTATGGTTAAAGAAGCAAATTCAGTTCTTTTCATTGTCATGTTTTCTAGACTTCATATCATTCACATTGCTTTCTTTTGGATTCTCTCCAGTTATTTCACATAATTTCTTGAAATTAAGTGCTCAGAGAAGAGATGCAGTGTTTCTGTTCCATTTTTGTCTGTGGGGAAAGCTGTTGCCTTTGTGATGGAGAACAAACCAAAAGGAACTTTGCAAGGACTGAAAGACAGCTGGGGTCCAGAGAATCATCTAAAGGCCTTACCTGGAACAGAAAACAGAAGAAAAATTAAAATATTTCATTAAAATAATGAGCTAAGCTTCATTACATGCTCCTTGGGGGTGGTGTAGTTTAAAAAGAACTTTAGTTCTGTGTGGTTTAAAGGACTGCAGTTGTCTTGGTTCATTAAAATGCTCAGAGGCTTTCTGTCCCCACCTGCAGCCTGTGACCTGAAGTTGGATTTTACACTTCACTGCTTGTTCCCTGCTGCCTTCCCTGAGCATCACCAGCTCCAGCCCTGAGCCCTGTGTGTTCCTCCCATGTATTTTTAATGTTCCCCATTACCTGCAGCCAGCTGCCTGGAATAATCACAGGGCCCTTTACAACCCCCTGGGGCAGCAGGGTTGGTGTTTGTGCATTTTGGGTATAAATCAAGTTTGCATTTCTTCACCTTTTTTCTGCTCTAGTCCTTCCTCGTTTGCTTTTGACGAGTCTGGGGAGAAGAGGCAGCAGAAGAGGCTGTGCTGTCACTGCTGCCAGTGTTTAATTGTGTTTGGCTTTATGGTGGCTGCCATTGCCTCGAAAAATCCATCAAGGTACCCTCAAATTCACATTGTCAGGGAAGAAGGATATGGAACTCCCTCTGAGAAGAGGGGAAAGAAATGCACATTTGAAGCAATGCAAGCTAAGCCAAACTCACCTAAAAATGTCAGAGGTGATCCTTTGGGACTGCAGCTTGCAGTGGACAAACAGAGGAGGTGAATTACAATTAGAGATATTGGGGTTTTTAAATATTGTGAAACTGTGTTTCTTTCTGTGCTCTAATTCTTCTCTATGCAATATTTACCACTGAGAGAGGTGAAAGATTTCTTTCTGTATTAGCCTTTGAATCCTTTGGTCAAAGTAGAAAAGTTAAAGGAAAAAAAACCACAACAAAAAAACCAACTTCCACTGGTCCATGTGCTGTTGCATCCAGTGATAACAAAGGGGTAACAAGGCAGAGATTTGATATTTCAGTGTAATTTAACTAAAACTGCCTTGCATTATCTGCCTAAAAAGCAAGTTTATTATGAAATTTTTGGCATAGAATGACTACCTTTTACAAACCATTAAGCTAAAGAGACATTACATCTTGGGGCAATGGTTTTAAACTGAAAGAAGTCAGGTTTACATTAGATATTAGGCAGAATTCTTTTATTCAGAGGGTGTTGAGGCTCTGGCACAGGTTACCCAGAGAAGCTGCCTCATCCTTGGAAGTGTCCAAGGCCAGGTTGGACAGGGCTTGGAGCAGCCTGGGACAGTGGAAGGTCCCTGCCCATGGCAGGGGGCAGGATGAGATTAACTTTAAAAATCCTTCCAACTCAAGACAAACTGTGATTCTATGATTCCATGACCTTAAAATCAAATCAGCTTTACTCAATGTGCAGCCTCTTCCTCTTGCTCCAAGCTGTTTCAGCCCCCTGGGGTCCTCAAACTCCATTTGGGGTTTCCTGCAATGACTGCACCTCTTTCAAATTTGAATTTTATAAATGCCACAATTCCTGTTGATGCTTGCCTCAGAACAATTGTTGAATTTGCACCCATTTGTAGAATCCTTGTTTTAAACTCTGCCTCCAAGTGTGACTTTACCACCAGAATGGGCAACTCGTGCTTTTTTTCCTCTTAAAGCAAATGCCCTTAAAAGGCTGCCTTAAACTGAAAAAATAGTGTAGTATTCCCTAAATCTGATAGATCAAGTGGTGCAGGAGAAAAAAATCCCCTTCATTGTGTGCTTTGGACAGAAACCTGCAGCAATCTGTTTGTCAGCCTTTTGTGATTTGTTATAATACACTGGGCCACGCAAGGTGCCAAATCAATGCACACTCCCTATAGAAGTGTTTCTCCTTGTTTAACCAGGTTAAAGCACTTAGCTCTTATTTCATTATCCCATTAGCAATCCAAACCCCATGTTTTTGGGTTCCAAGCTGATGTAGTTCCATGGGCAGCCCTTGAAATTTGCCAGAATCCCCTGGACTCCAGTAATTCTAATTGAAGTTGGCACAGATTTGAAATGCAGGCAGCGATAAGCTGTTGTAAGTCTTGGAGCATTGCAGAGCAAAATGGGAAATTCTTATTATGTGAGGTTATTTGAGCAGATTTAACCATTTTAGGGCAAAGATAGTTTCAGTAGGGAGCTAAATTATGGGTCCATGTGATGATGTGAGTTCCTCTACAAATCAGGATGAGGTGCAGGAGTAATTGCATGTGAACTTGGAGTGTTTTGCTGCAGGCTTTTTCTCTGGTGCTCATGGGAATGATCCCTTGAGTCTTTTTAGTGTCTGGTTTTCTATGAAATTAGAATAAAGAGTTTTCTGACTGTAGGCTGGTCCCAGATACTGTCTGACTTTGCAGACAAGAGCAGACCCCAACCATTGTCCCCACTCCTCCACTCCCTTCCCTGGTCTAATGATTATATCCTCTGCTTTTAGAGATTTGCGCTTCAACCACATCAAGGAGATACAACCTGGAGCCTTCAGAAGACTGAAGAACCTCAACACACTGTAAGTTGCACTCCAAGGGTATCCACTTATTACTTGTGTTAGTGCTGTCCCCTAAGATGGCTTAAAGGTGGCCTTGGGCTTTTATTTATTTCAGTCAAGTTGTGCATATCCAGCCAAAGCATTAAAATTCCCTCTGTTCCACCTGTGTCATGTTTCTTACCTTTTTTTATTTAAATGTGTATTTTAATAACTTTAATTTTTCACAATTAACCCCTCTTTTTAAAAATAAAATATGATGACCTCTAGCACTGACTGAGGATGTTTGAGCAGGTATGGCTTTAGAGTAGCCCATAAAAGAAATTCTCACCTGGGATCAAGACAGTGGAAGGATGAATTAAAATTCTTCCTTTCCATGGTCTTCTCTAACGCATGAACCACATCAGTTGCTCTATGTGACTTTGACTGAGCATCCTTCAAATTCCATCTTACCCTATGCCTTGCCCTAAAAGAGATGCCTACGTCTACCCTACTCCAGGTAGGAATGGGGGTAGAAAGCTGCCCCTCCAGCCTTGTATCCCACTCCCACATCACTGTACAGGCTGCTGCACTAACAGCTCCTCACTCTTGGGAGCCTCTTCTCATTCTGGCTGCTGCTGGGCTGAGGGTTTGGAGACAGATCTGAGTGCATCTGCACCCCACAGCCAAGGGGCTGCAAACACAGCAGCTCCCAAATCAGAACCAGAAGCTGTGTCAGCACAGAACTGTGCTGGATGCACTTGGGCTCTTGAGACTAATTATCTGAGCTGTGACATGGTGCTAACAGCAGTAGGATTTCCAGGTCCAAGCTGGAATTCCTCAGTGAGGCAAAGCAGCTCCTTTGGGAACCTGACAGATGTTCATACATGCATGGTCCCAAATGGAAAAAGAAAGTTTAGGTAGCTTTTTCTGTCTGGCCTTGAGTGATCTGAAGTGTCTGATCCTGTGGAGCTGAAGGAAGGCAAACCTGGGCAATGAGGCATTCAGTCAACTCTAAGTAGTTGTTGGAAAAGTGGGATTACAGCAGGACTTTATTATTGAGAGATAAAGTGTTATCTTTGAAAAATCTGCATTTGCCAAAGATTGGTTCACTCTGTGTGTGGGACTGGGTGGCCAAGCCATGATGCAGGATGCTGCAGAGTACCCTGGCTGTGGCCCAGGACAGCTTGTCATCAAGTGGGCTGCTCAAAAACTTTATTGCCACTGGTGCTGTTCATCCAGAACAGGCCAGGTTGGTCTCTCAAACAGGACCGTGGGGTACTTAAATTGCCTAAAATAATAGAGAAGAAAGGATACTTTGGATGGATTTCTATCATTTGAGATAGGGTCAGATATGGTGAGAAATGAGAAAAAAAATATCTATAGATATAATAGAGGACAAGTCTGCAGGGTTTTGTCTTATCACAAAGCTCTGCTGAGGCCTCTTGATCTCCAGCCCTGCTCTTCCAACCCTGGAGCTCTCCTGAGTCAGGGAACAAAGGGTTGCAGATGATGTCACCTCGCTGCGATGCAGGCAGATGTTTGGCAGCAGCTCCCAGGACCACCAGGAGAGTTTCAGCAGAGCCCTGGGGAAAACGAGGATGCTGGCAGGGCTTCACTGGGAGAGATGCTCCAGCCAACCTGCCAAGCTTTGTAAGGGCTCCCAGTTCCTGCCCTGACAGCACCCTGGACTGGGCAGGTCTCTGACCTGGGCAGGACTTTTGCTTCTGTCTTCTGCATAGAGGTAGATTCAGACAGGGCCTGACTGAGGGGAAGACCTGTCTCTCTCTAACACCTGTTTGTGCTCTGTGATTTTCTCCAGCTCTTTTCCCTTTCTGTCTCCACACTCTCCTGGACAGAGATCTCAAGGACAGCAAGTCCATGAGCAAATCCTAGAGGGAATAGGCAGGAATGTACCCCCTGGCATCCCTGATCTCATGATTTGGATGCCAGGGTAGCAAGAACAATGTGTTTTCACAGGGGGTGGGCAGATACCCCTGATTTCCCTAAACAATGTCCCATGGCCATTGTCAGAGCTGGAATACTGGACCAGGTGAAACACTGCTCTAACAAAATACTGCATTTGTATGTTTGAGTTCTGAAAATCAACCTGATTTGCCAAGGAAACCTTTCCATTTAGACAGTACTTATGCTTAGTTGTATTTCCTGGTCTGTTCAGCAGACTGGAACACTCAGTTTTTCTCACAATTGTAGCAGTTAATTCCCACAGCTGAGGAGCTTGATAACTGACTGAGAGAACACTGGACCTCACACTCCTGAAGCAGATTTCTCACCAGGAAATTTGGTTTGTCCAATTCCCACATCAAAACTAACAAGAGCTGAAGAATTTGCTGATGTTTCTTAGATGGTAAATTTTGCCTGAGGACTTAGATAGCTTTTCAAGTGATAAAGAGAATAAATCCTTTAAAATCCCTGAGAGACTTCCTGGGAAAATTTGTCCAGAAAGTTTGAAGTGAGAGGTTTGGAGGATAGAATAGATCAGGTTCCATGTGCAGGGCTCTGAGCTTGCAGCTTTCTGCCATTTAATTTAAATAAATCTTCTTTAAGCAAATAAATGTTTTTTAAAAGAGCATTTTCTACTAATGGTAGAGGAAGAGCAACAGATTCTGGTGAAGCTTCTGTTCTCCATCTCCTTTGGGGCAGGGTGGCTGTTCTGTGTCCAAGTTTGACAGTTTATAAACCACCCTGAAAAGGAAACCTTTGTAGCCTGTGCTGGATGCAGGGAAATGGTTGAGAGCCTCACAGGAGAGGAGCCTGTGTGGATGTCCAGTGGGGCTGTTCAACAGTTCAAACCCTCCCCTGGCTCCTCTCTGCTTTCCTCTGGTGTGGGAGATTTGATAAATCACAGAACACTCCTTTAACATTAAAAACAGGAGCCCTGTTTGTGGAAGAGTCACTGTTTGCTTCCAGCTGGGGACTCCTGGTACAGCACCACAGGTAGTGAGCAGATATCCTAAATCCTGCACCACTGGGAACCTCCTTGTTGGCTGTGTGCAGCTGGAGAACTTCTCTTGTGCTGAACATATCAGAAAGTGGTTAAGATTTCCTCATCCCCCCCTACTGGCTCTGCTCTGCTCCCATCTGTGCAGATGGTGCTGTGTGTTTTTAAACTCTTAGTGTGTACCCTTGGTATTAAAAAAATAAAAAAAAGAGAAGGGAAGGGAAGGTGTGGGAAGGTGTGGGAAGGTGTGGGAAGGTGTGGGAAGGTGTGGGAAGGTGTGGGAAGGTGAGAGAAGAGAAGAGAAGAGAAGAGAAGAGAAGAGAAGAGAAGAGAAGAGAAGAGAAGAGAAGAGAAGAGAAGAGAAGAGAAGAGAAGAGAAGAGCAGGGAGGGTGAGGTAAAAAAACCCCTCTTGTATGGCATCCACACCCCCCCCAGCTCCAGGACAGCTGTTCTGCTGCGGTTTGCCATCACTTGCTGTGTGGCTGAAGCCAGCATTAGCTCAGAGCAGGTGCTGGGAGAGAGAGGAAACACTGTGTGCCCATGGTGAGGCACAGCCTCTCACTGCTTTCCAGCTTTTGCTCCTTTAGGTCATTTCTGGGTGGGGATGGATGATGACACCTCTGAGGAGCTTCTCCTTACATGTTCCCACAGGAGTCAGCACTGCCCTGTTAACCCCTTTGGTTCATTGCTGTATTTTCAAACCACAGCCAAAGGGTGGCAGCTCCTTGGGTCTCTCCAGCACCGTCCATAGGAATGTCCAACCCAGGGACCAAAGTTTCTAAACGTGCCCAGTGTGTATTTTGTTCTTCCTGAGGCAAGAGAGCAGGGACTCTGCAGGGACATTGCTTGTGCCTCTGCCTGGCCCTCTGCCCTGTCACTGCTCACATCATATTTCTTCTCTCTTTGCTCAGGTGGGAGCAAAACACTCCTGGTGAGCCCTGCAGCTCTGCTTTAGGTGCTGCTGGTGAAGAGCATCAGGGTGAACAGAGCAGTAACGTGGAGTTTCTGTATTTACCCTCTAGTAACTCCTGAGAGAATGTGTTCCTGCCAGCAAGGAGGGGATGTCAGAGCCTGCTTGGATCTCAGAACAGAAGTTTCTCCCTTAAATATGGGAAATGGCTATTCCAGATCATTCTTTCAACAAGGGGGAATGTGTGGTTGAACATAAAACTCACTTTTTCTCCCCCTCTAAAAGCACTACGTGATGATTTCTATTAATGGCATGAGGAAAAAAATAGCTGTTTTGTCACAATGACTGCAGCATGTGGTTTGTCAAATGAAAAGAGGAAAGAGAACATGGTTTGAGTCTGAATTCTGTCCTGTCACATCATTTAATACATTCTTCAAAACAGAAAACACTCATTTAATGCAACTTAAGCCTGTGCCTGGCAACCTGGAGTGAGGGTGGGGAAGGAGAAAGGAGAGGCAGTCAGGACATAAAACCTAGAGGAAACTGAATGTAAAACGTTCTCTTTGTGAATCTGGGCCAGATCTCATTGTGCATGTACATCTCAAACGTCCCAAAAGGGTTTTGCAGGAATAAAAACTGTGTGATTGCGTTCTCTTACTCGTGTGGAATCCAATTCATGGGGCATGAAGGGAAGTGCCCCATCCTATTGCTAGGAAACTTGCTTCTGATACTTTTAATTTAGCCTGTTTTACTACAGGGTCTGCTTAAGATAATGATAGTGATAATTATCTTCCCAGCCTCTGTCCTCCAGAGCATTTACTCCCAGCAGATCTGGGATCTCAGCTTTCAGCCCTCCAAGGGCAGCAGGAATTTGGATATTTTTGCTATGGGCAGCAGCTGGGACTGATAGCCAGGCCATGCCAGGATTTTGCACACTTCTCTGCCTGGGTGAATTGCACAGGAGTCAAGGAGCAGATGGCTGTGCAGGAGCCATCCAAAGTCTTTCTAGGAGCCAGATGTGCTGCCTTGTCCATGGATTTCTCTGAAAGCAGAATTTTGGAATAAGTGGGCTATTTTATGGACTTCATCATTATCTCACTTGCAAACGTTTCCCAGGACTTATCCTTCTATTACAATGGGGAATCCTGAGACAGGAAGCAGAGATGGCTTCTTCCATGCAGTTTTTATTCTTAAATCAGGCAATGAACAAATTTTTAAGTATCAGACGATGAGATAAGAGCCCTGTGTGCTGCTTGCCATCTGAACTTCCAGGATTCATCTCATTTGGCTGGGTCAGTGCTTACACTGCCTCAAACTGTACAAAACAGCCAAGACAACAAAACAGAGTTGGATAATGCTTTTAAATAGCCCCAAAACACAGCCAGACAACATAATGCAATTTGAAATCCCCAGTGGAGATCAGTCCTGGTCTGAACTCTGAGCATTGAAGATAACAATCAGCGAAGGGCTCCAGACCGTGCTGCTGCGTGGGGCTGCTCAGGCTGTTGGTGTGACCCTGCTCACCTGGTCACTGTCACCTGTCCCCTGGGAGGCAAATGGCCAGTGCCAGGTGTGGGACAGGTGCTCACATCATGGGAATGACGTCGGTGCTCAGAACCCATTGTGTGCTCAGAAGTGGGGCCAAGGATCAGATAACAGAGAGCGAGCTGCCTTCATCCTGCTCTGGCCAGAGATGAAAGCTGATAGAGGAGGGGAGGGAAGCACTGCTGGTGCCTGTGTTGTCCTTGTCCTGCGGGCAAATAGACAAAAGCCCTCTCCCACACTGCTCTCAGGCAGTTATTTCCAGCCCTTGGGTGTTCAGTCATCAAATAAACTTTTGGGTTGATGCTCAGGGATGGTATTTCCACTCAGCATAGCTGGCTGTCAAAGCGGGATCGTGTGTTCCAAGGACTTGACATCATTTTTGCATCCTTATGAGTGAGCCTGGGCTGTTTGACCTCAGCTGTGTGTATGGAGCCATTGCTTCCAGCTGTGCAGGAACTTTCCAGCTGTCTCTGCCTTACCCTCTCCAGGCTGCCTGTGCCCAGCCCTGTGCAGTCTGGCCCCCACACCCATGGTATCAGGACAGCTCATCCAGGGGGGATACTCAAATCCAGGATAAGAAGGACTTTTCCCAACCCCTCATTACCTGACTTCCAAAGTTGTTTGCTCTTGAGTTTCTCACATGATTCTCCACCTGAGAAAAAGCTAGTGGAAAGCTGGTGTGACTCAGGTGCCTGGAGAGAACTTGTGAAGCTGCCATCACACTTGTGTGCTTCTGACATCTTTTGTCTCTTCTGTCATCCCTGAGATGTTTGATTTTACCTTCATCTTCTTTTCCCAAAAGTTTTTTACCATTTCTCCCCATCTCTTTGTCTTTTCTCTCCATCCTTTACCTGCACAAATTGTTTTTGCCCAGGAAAAGACCTTGGCTTGTAATGACAGAGGCTGGCTGCTCTTTTTTCTCCAGAAAAGCAGGGCAGAGGACTGGATTTTACTGCTGGGAAAGTGCTGAATTGTCTTCTCACCTGCTGCCTGGTGGCTGATCATTCCTGAGGAGCAGAGCTTTGGCAAAAAGGAACTTGTAAAATGCACATCCAGTGCATGTATTGAATGTGACACAATGTTGTAAGGTCTGGCTGCTTGCACAGACAATGGCTGTTTTCCCTACAACACCTGAAAAAGAAATCTTTGCAGTTCACAGTCACAGATTCCTTCTCTGCCCACAACTCCATTGAGGAATTTTAAAAATTCCTGTGGCTGGTGAATTCCTTGCTCTGGGCTATTGAGCTGTAAAAGCTCCACCAGCTCTGGGCTTTATCAGTGGGACATCACCACGAGAGACCCCCGGGCAGCCACGGGGAATAGCTGAACTTTGTGTATTAGGGAGCTATTTATAAGTGATTTATTGTGTTTTCTCAGTGCTGGGCTTGGCAGGGGCTGCAGGGGAGTTGTGCAGGGCTCAGCTGTGTGGTTACACTGCTGCACAGCGTGGCTGTACAGAGCTGGGCTGTTCCTGGTCACTGGCACTGGCCCCCAGCTGCATGCAGAGTCATGGCAACTGCACACACAAGTCACACACGCCTTCCCAGTGCCATGTGGTCCAGAGGTTTTGTATTAAAATCTGGCACAAGGCTCCTGAGATTGAAAGAGGTTGTCTCTGAGCAGCCTCAGGAGTCAAAGTTGAATTTATTTCTTTCTCATTTGTGGGTATCAGTTACAAAGTGATTAGAGTAAATTAATGTTTTATGGCTCCTGTAACTCCAGTGGGAACTGGTGTTTTAAACTGCATTTGTACTTCTAAAAACTGGCTCTGCACTCCCCTGCTCACTTTTTGAACACAACCAGGAACCTCCAAAACCCATTGTGATTGTACAAGAGTGGCAGCAATTTAATATCTCAATCCCCACTGTTTCTTTCTGCCTGTCTCCCTTCCCCTCATCCCTTTCCTGGAAAAAATAGTCACTTTGGGGTGAAAACTGTGGCAAAAGGTAAGGAAAATACTTTGAATACTACAATATTTGAAGTACTTGGACTCTGTGGGTGAGAAGCCTTCTCACTGCCTTGGCTGATATGAGTACCGTAATTTTGACTTGCTAACCCCATTAAATCTTAAATTCTGTGACACCTGGGCTCAGAATTTTTCAGTGGGCATCCAAGAACAGAATTGTCACAAATATGTGCTGACTTCACCAGCTGTGTTTTATTTCTTGATTTGAACAGGCTGCTGAACAATAACCAGATAAAACAAATCGTGAGAAGATCCTTTGAAGATCTGGAAAACCTGAAATACCTGTGAGTTGGTAGCTCAATAATTTCTTAGCCTCTTTAAAATCTAACAACCCACTTTTAACATTTGCCAGTCAGGGCTGTACTGTGTGTTTGGAATTCAGTGTCAGAGGTATAAAACATTGCCCTTGAATCCAGGCAGCAAGTTCTGCTTTGGGTTGAGGGTCATTGCTGATTTCTGTGACTTTTTAGAACTCAGCTGCTGATCAGTTGGCCTAATGCTGTTTCCTTTCTCTCCTTTTGAAAGCTACCTTTATAAAAATGAAATCCAGAGCATCCAGCAACATGCCTTCCACGGGCTGCACTCCCTGGAGCAGCTGTAAGTACAGATGAGCCTTGTTTGCACGCTGTGCTCCCTGGCTTGGGGAGCAGCAGGCACATAGCGAGGGGTAGGATGAAGCTTCTGCTCTTTTATCATCCAGATGTGCCAGGCTACACTGGGTCCATTTGAAAATGGCTGTTCAGAGTATTGGTTTTGGTTGGTTAGCACTGAGGTCTCCTCCTGCTGGTGTTCCATATGTTTTCTCCTGCCCCTAAACCTCTGGAGCATAGGAAGAGCCCAGCTGTGCTTCTGATGGCCTTTACTTCCAAGGACCTTATGATGGGAGGAGAGAGGAGTCTGCAGGAGGGCTGGAAGCAGAAGGCAGCTGCTCTGCTGGGTTTGTGTCTGGGGCTTCCTCGAGCAGAGAGTCAGATCTGCTCTCTGACTTAAACTGAGGGTGCTGGTTGAGTTTCTCTCTTATCCAAAGCTGTGCTGGGAATGAATGGATGAAGCTGAGAGCTGGGGCAGCCGACTATTGCTGGGAGCTACCAGGATGAAGGTGCTCCCATGCCTCAAAACGTTGGAAATTGCAGTGGGGGAAGATGATGGATCCAAACAAGCCCAGTAATGTCCTTCCCTCAAGGCAGTCTGTGCTGAATCTGGGATGGAGGGAGCCTCCTGTGTTTTCCTGGCAGCTGGAGTCCATCACAGTGACACTCCCAACAGCCCCCATTTGCTTCCTTTCTGTGAACGGCAAAACTCTGCTGTTTATCCAAAGAAGTTTTGGTTTTTGACTCTTAGTGTACCACTCTTGAGGTGAGATGGACAAACTGAAGTTTGGCTCTTCTGAAGTGCCTTCCTAAACTGGGACTGGATTTTTCTTACTTGTGACTGGGGGAGGGAGTGTGAGCTTGGATATTTGAATCATACATGGAATGGTTTGGCTTGGAAGGGATCTTAGAGCTCACTTCATTCCAACCCCATCCATGGACAGGGACAACTTCCACTATCCCAGGCTGTTCCCAGCCCCATCCAACCTGGCCTTGGATACTTCCAGGGATCCAGGGGCAACCTGTGCCAGGGCCTGACCACCCTCACAGGGAAGATTTTCTTCCTAAAGATTTATTCTTCCTTAATAACTGCAATATAGGAATTACTTGTATCATTGGAGAATAGGGACCAAAGGCCTAATTCCTGGATTGTTCCCAGCCACAACGTTTATAGGGCTGGAATGTAACCAAGGATTTTGCTGTAAAAGGAATAGGATCCAGCTTGTTCTCCAGGTGGACAGCACAAGAGGACAGAGCATCGTTGGAAGTTTCAGGCAATCCTAACAATAGGTGTGCCACCAAGCTTGTGTACAATGTGGTTTTTCATCAGCCAGCTCAGCAAGGATGCCTGGGAGAAAATTTAGGAAGCTGAAACTGGCTCTAAGCTGACCTTAGAGAGCTGGTGCTGCCCACAGGGATATTTGAGCAGTGAGTGTTCCAGACTTGATGTCACGAATAAAAGAAAAAAAAAAAACCCAACAAACCCACAAAACCAACAAACAACCCGCTGAAAATCCCATCTGTTTTCAATCCCAGGCAGGCTTAGCTCCAGAAGAAATAGCTTTGCTCAAACCCTACCCCATTTTCCTGTCCCCCACAAGCCAGCTTTTCAAGAAAAAGTATAACCCGATTGATGGACAGGATCAGATGCTTTCCTCAAGGTCCAAAGCAATCTCAGCAGACATCTGAGACTGATTACAGCACATCCCTGTCTTCCCCACTGCAACCCTCCAGTGCAGAATCTGAGTCACCCTCTCCCAGTCTGTGCTTTGATACTGGACCATTTATCATGAATCCTTCCATTACAAATCAAACAGCCATGTGGAGGCTTAGGCAATTATTTCTCAATGCAGTCAGCTACAATAGCAGAATGAGTATTTGTAGATCTGTGGTTAATCTGTGTCTGCTGTGAAATTTATGCCTGTGTAAAATAAAGGGGAACAGTTTAGGCAATTTGGGGACTGTTGAAAATCCATCTAAAGGTCAGGAATGTGTCAATTGTGCTGCTGAATGTCACAGCTCACGGCAGCAGGGAGGCTCAGGCATTGGGGTGAGTTGCTCTGCAGGCACCAAGTTTCTTTTCTTGATGGCAAGGGGTGACCTGGGACAGGCAGGAGGTCCCCATGGCCTCTGGAGTGGCAGGTCACACTCTGGATTTTAGTGGAATTAAAACTATTGTTCTGTAGTAGCAGAAAAGCCATGTTGGCTACTGAGTTTGCATGTGGGAACTGGAGACACTAACATGATTCTGGCTGCTCACCACCTGCCCTGAGATGAGCAGTGACCAGCTGGGGGACACTGGTGGACTGACCTGGGAAGATCTTCTGTCTCTTAAACTGCAATCTGTGTGTGATTTCTGTGTGATTTCTGTGTGGTTTCTGTGTCACAGGTACCTGCATTTCAACAACCTGGAAAGTCTGGAGCTGGAGACTTTTAGTGACCTGCCTAAACTTGAAAGGCTGTGAGTAAAGATGGGATATTTCTTGGGACTAAGAGGGTGGGGAGATGGGGGAATCCCCTTTATTTAGTGTAGCAATTTTGGTAGCATGGAGTGTGATCTCCAAAATGCAAAAGAAACTTTTTTAAGGAAAGATATTTTACATAATTGCCAAGTAGAAGGGTGACTGAGGATGTGAAGGAAATTTCCCATTTTATGTTATGTTCAGGTTTCCATCTAAATAGGAGTAAATCTGCAGAAAGAGCTGGTCAAGCCAAGTGAAATTTTACTCTGAGCATAAGGTCAGCAACATTAGTCACTGTTGGGCAGAGTGAGAAAAAAAAGGGGGTGGAGAAGGGATAAAGTCAGAAGGAAGTCTAACAAGAAAAACACACATCCTTCTTGAAAGCAGTAAGGAAATGGAGTCTCCTGCTCCCCAGGATTGCTTCTAGCAGTAATGGAGCCACCAGCACAATGTGTGGTTCCTGCTCCATGGAGAAACCAGCAGACTTTTCTGGGCCATGTGGAAATGTGCCTTATATCCATACATGCCAAAGAAATAAAACTGTGGGATCCCACACCCCTAGGAAAATTCAAACCTGGATCAATACATGGCTGATGTCAGTCACTGTATTGGATCCAACAAAAATTCTGGATTTAAATTTTAAAGGAAGGATTTTTATCCTCCAAGCTGGGCAACCAGGCTGAGCTCTGGTGCACACGTGTGTGTGCGCAGACATTTGCCCTAGAGCTGTGATGCTTTTGTGTTCTCTCCTGTTCCACCACCTATTAAAATTGCTTCATCTCTTCTATCAATGGTCTCTTATGAGTTTTAGATGTTGTACTACACAGGTAAATTCCCCACCATTATGGTAATGGGGAGTTGATTGTCCCCTCTTGGTCCCCACTAAGATTGTGCATTTCACAGCAATCAGGGTTTCTCCCTACGAACTGGAGAGTTTTATGTGTGTGCTAAGACTCTGGAAGTGAGAATTTACCTTAGTTTTGTTCAGAGATAAGCCCAGTTTAGGTGGCTGTTGTCTGAATTAGATTTGCTGATGGATTTGGGTTAGTAACTACATGGAGTCTAAGGCCAATGGCTGCCCTTGTAAAATTATCACGTCATCTGCACAGGGGAAGGAAAAGGTCCCTTAAAAACTGGAGCTGACCCAGGCCCAGAGAACAGAGGGTGGGTCCAGTCTGAGGGGATTTTGTGCCCTTTCCCCTGTCTTTGCAGAGAAACTGTAAGGGTCCAGTTTAAACCTGTTCCATCACATCCTGAGTCACTGTTTCCAGCCCACACCCGCTCTCGTCTTTGGCATATTACATCACACCCACCAAGGGATGAAATCCCTCCAGCTCATGGAAACAAACAAGGAATTTAAAAACTGAGCTCCATTTTGAGCAGCCTTTGCATTTAAACTGAGTTGTGACCTGGAATGTTATCATCCTCACAGTGCAAATACTGAATAATGTTTTGGCATGGCTTCTCCCACTGCAGATTCTTGCACAACAACAAGATTTCCAGGATTCATCCAGGGACATTCTCTCAACTGGAATCCCTCAAACGGCTGTAAGTAACAAACATTGCCTGCAAAGAGGACTTGTTTATCTTCAATCAGATGGGCAGGACCTGAGGAAGAATGTGCCTGGTTGGCAAAGCTTTTAGCTGTTGCACTTCTAAGGCCACTGCTAAGTTTATAAAACAGTTTTGATTGGACCTGAAAGCTTATTTAACCAGTTAGAAGTTTCTTTATGCTAGTGTCTAATTATAATCAGCTTAATAATGCCACAGGAATGAAGGTTCCTGGAAAGTCTTCACAACAGTTTGAACCCATAAAACATCCTTGAAAAATGTAGAAAGTCCAGGTCATGGATATGACCTTGAACATGTCTGTAGATCAGTATCTAACATGGAAAGAAAAATCATAGTCATAAAAGAAAAGGCTTGTTTTCCAGATTGAAATTAGCCAGAGTGGTGCCAAGGGGCATGATTGTCTTTCCACGCAGGAATTCCCCAGGGTGCCATTCCCACGTAACCTGTCTGTCTCTTAAGCTTACTTCTTTCTTGCTTTGGTTTTATGATCTCTGGAAATAAGTTCTATGATGTGTTTGGGAGAAAAAAAAAAAATACAAAAGGTAAAGAATTTTGGTTTTCTGCCATGATTTTCAAGTACAATAAAATAATGTATTTCTCACTGCAGCCCTCAGTGATTTCTGCAAGCAGGTAAAATGCTTCACTTCTCTTTAACAGGGAATATCTTGTGAAATGCTGTCTGTTGGTGCCAGAGAAAAAGCTGGGGTGTCTATAAAATACTCAGTCATGACCCTGTGCGAGATCTCACATTCTCAAATATGTGACCCTGAAAGTGTTAGATTTTTCTTCCTTTTTTATTTTTTTCGGGGTTTTTTTAATTTTTTTTTTTATTTGTTATGTTTTTGGTTTTGGATGGCTGTGCTGGTTTTGAAAACCACCACAATGGCCCAGACCCATCGACTGTAAAACTGTCAGTGTGGAAGGAGGCACAAGCTAATCCCCCTGTAGTCCTTATTTATCCTCATGGATAGCACTGCTCATTATTTATCCCCATGGATAGCGCTGCTCATAGGAACGAGGTCAGTGCAGGGAAGAGGCTGGGGGCACTGGGAGGTCACTGGAGCTCCATTCTCTGTGGTTCAGGCTTGTGTTGCAGTAATAAAAGTTCTTCCAGTTGTGCAGAAATGCAACCCCTCACAGCTGGTTACAAAGAGGGCCTGATCCCATCCACACATAAATAAAGGGGGAGGTTTTTTTGGAGCTAAAAGAGAAAAGCTGTAACAGAGGCAGTTCTCACAGAATTCACTAAAGATTGAAATCTCCATCCCAGGGTAAAACCCAGGATTTCAGTGTCTCAAGTAGTCCAAAACTGCATAACCCAGTTTAACTGAATCATTTGAAACTGGAATGGTTGATGGCAGTTTTTCAATTAAATCTTTAAAATTGGTTAAGCATCCTAGTTAAGCATCATGGCAATGAGATATCTCCAGTTTTCCCTGGGATATAATCGAATGCAGGGCAAACCACACGAGTGACCGTTCCCTCTGGAGGGCTGTGTCCCCTCCCGTGCCCTGGAGCAGGAGGCAGCACAGCAGCTGGAGGATGAGCACCCAGCTGCCTTTTCCTGGCTGTTGCAGGAGGCTGGACTCCAACTCCCTGTTCTGTGGCTGTGAGCTGCTGTGGCTGGCAGAGCTGCTGAAGAAATACGCGGAGCAGGGCAGCATCCAGACCGCGGCCACCTGCGAGGCTCCGCGCCACCTGCACGGCCGCTCCATCGTCACCCTGACCGCGCAGGAGGTCAACTGCGGTGAGCGAGGTCAAACACCTCCATCGGCCACCCTCAGCCCCTGCAGCTGGGCTCTGCTCTGGGAATTGCTTCCTCCAACCCTTTTCCTCCCTCTTCCCTCTGCTGGCATCCCGATTTCTCCCTCCTTCACTGCTGAAATGGGAAAATCCAGAGGGGCTGCAGGAGGAAGCTGACATTCCCAGAGGTGTTTGAGGCAGCTCTGGTTTGACTGGTGGGTGTTGTCTTGGCTTTTTGCATAGAGTAGGGCTGGTAGAGGATCTGCTGCAACAGTGGCTAAACCAGGAATCAAAGGAAATACCCATTAGTCTGCACAGAAGGGGAGCACTGGGAGAGCTGCAGTGGCTGGAAACATGACTGGAAACCTGAGGGAGAGCACAGTAGATATGGAGCTGAATGCTGTGTTTGACTGTGGTGTAACCGATGGCTTTTGTTAGGCTGTTATTCTTTAAATTTAGAATTTTAAATTAGATTTTGTTCTGAAAAATTCCAAGATTAGTTATTTCGTATAGAAGAAGACAAATCTCTGATTTTTAAGTGGAGGTAAGACAAAACTCTGATTTTTAAGTGGAGGCTGGCGCAAACATTGGCTGCAGTTCCATGGTGCTTAGCTGCTGGTAAAGTCAGTTTGAGAAATTTTCACCCACGTGGGCTGGCTGTTATCATCCCTCCTGGATATGCCAGTCCAGCTGTGCATGGCCCTGCTGCGAGCCAAATGTGAGCTCAGCTGGATTTTGAAGAGCTCTCCATTCAATTCAGCTTTTCTCTTACGATTTAATTATTTTTTTCAAAGTTTTGACCATTTCACAGTTTAATTTAGGGCACAGCCATGCAAAGAATTGAGTTGGCACAAAGGGTCTAAGGAAAGCAGCTGAGGACACATGGAGTGGCTGTGCCACACAACAAGCTGTCCCCAACACACTCCCAGTGCCACAGGACAGCTGTTAGTGCAAATTTGTTCTGGTTTAGGCATGGAAACACAGTGGGGTGTCTGTCAAATTAGCCAGAGCACATGGTGGGAAGATTTTGCTGGCATTTGGCTTTCGCTCTGGTGGTGCGCCAGCTGGGAAGACAAATGATACAGAGTTCAACACAGAGCTCTACCCATGCAGGTGGCTGATATTTGAGTCAGTCTGAAAGCTGCTGGTTCCATTAACCCGTGGCTTTGAGCAGCTGTGAGCCACAGGGGCAAATCTGCCCTGGTACTGTGGGGCTGTGCTGGGTTGGGGCTGTGCTGGGTTTGCCTTTGGGGATTTATTCTGAGCCATTAGCTTGTGGTCTGAGGAGTGAGACACTGACCTTCCACTGGAGGAGGTGACAGGTTCTCAATTTTAGGTTTTACTGCATTACTGGTAAGCATGCAGATTGTGAAAATTCAGCTTTTTGCTGAATCAAGATCAAGTACTCCAGGGCTTGTCCATAAATTCCACCCTATTTTAGCACATCCTTTTAATGTTTGACTTGCTTGGTACTTGAGTAAATCTCAAAGTGAAGTACACAGTGAAAAGCTTGGCTGGATAGGGATAGGATGATGAATTAGGGCCATAATGAGTGAAATCCTGTTGGGAAGGAAGTGGTGTGGTTTGCAGGGAGCTGGCTCTGCGTTCAGGTGGAGCAGGGAGCTGCAGGCTGCCAAGGGCAGAGAAACAACCCAAGTGAGGATGCTGTTGACTTCTTTGCTTCTGTGGGGGGAGACAGGGACCAGCTCTGCAATGAACCACTGTACAGTCAGCTCTGTGGGAACTGATCCACTGCCCAACATACTGGGAATAGGGACAGCAACGACTTCCCAGGGCATTTACAGGTGAACGAATATTCCTTCATGATATTTGCAGGTGTTAGTGAGTTTTGGGGTGGCTCTGAGCAGATGCTGCTGTGTCTGGTGCCAGTTTCTTGGGGCATTGCAGGATGGGTGTTGTGTGCCCCACCACACCCCAGCTGGGCTGTGGGTGGTTTTGTGCTGCTTTGGACTGGGTTGTGTTCAAATGGTGTTTTGCAGAGAGGCCTCGAATAACCTCAGAACCGCACGACGTCGATGTGCTCTTGGGAAACACAGTTTATTTCACCTGCAGGGCAGAAGGCAACCCAAAACCTGCCATTATTTGGCTGCACAACAAGTAAGTCACATGCAAGGAGCCCTGGGATGGCAAAGGTTTTCAAGCACTGAGCTCTTCAGTGCCTGCCTGTAATTACAGAAGTTTTTTCACACAACGTTAAAAAAAATAAAAATAAAAAAGAAATGCTTATTTCATGGGTTATATTTACCTTCCTTTTAACAGCATTCTATGGTGACCATGTAATCCAAGTGGTGTTTTCATCTGCATTTGAAATATTTCATCTGTGTTTGTAATGGATTCCAAGAGCTTATAACTTTCCTATAAACATACTCTGCAGGCTGAAAGCAATTGTCTTTTGATCAGGAAAGAAATAAAATGAGTCTTTCATGTTGCTCTCAGCCACCATGCTTGCCATTTGTAACTGCTGAAATGCTTCTCACTGAAGGCTGATTGTGCTAAGGTATGAGGTTTCTTTCCAAAGGGAAACATTGCTGTGCTCCACTGAAGGACAGAATTTGCAAATTTGTGTATAGGTTATGTGCTAGATGCCAGAGTGTTCTGGGAAGTGCTACACAATAAAATATTGTGTGCCTGCTGTGGAACTGAAGCTGCTTTGCTGCTTTATGAGCTTCTTGTCTGGTGAAGCCTGAGCAGGGCTTGGTTATTAATAAATGATCAATGTATGCATCTTCAGCAAACCCCCCACCAGGCAGAGTTTCAGCCCAGAACAAAAGTTTATGGCTGAGTTAAGTCCCTTTGGAAGGAAGGTTTTGTTAGGGAAGTGCTGGCAGGCTCCCAAAGACATCATTGTAAGAAGGGTAATGATAATAAATGTTCAACAAATGAGATATGGCTGGAGTGAGGAGACACCAGGGGAATTAAATAAATGCCCAGCAAGCAGATTAGATTGCATAGTGGCTTCAGCCTTTGTCCTAGGGGTAGAGAGGTCCCTTCTTCCCTTTCTATCATCTGCAGACATCCAAGATTCCTTCATGCTGGGACAAATGGGATGCAGCACTGGGACCTCCTGCCACAGGCTGGGATCCAGGAGTCGCAGGTCATTGCAGAAAGAAGGAAGATGCTTCACAGCTCTTGGGCTGGATTGGAGTCCAAGCTGTGTTGGGGTCCCATGGTGACTTCTCTGAGCTTTTTGCTCCTCTGAGGCCCTTGAGACTCGAGTTTGAATAGCAACGGTTGCAAACAAGAACAATTTTAATTCATTGTTACATTTGCATTTAGTGAGTGAGGAGAACAGGCAGAGCTGGAGCTGCAGTTCAGTGCTGTGAATCAGAACACTTGCTGCAAATTTCATGAAATCTCAGCATAGCTCCCAGAAACGCCAACTTACTGCCAAAGCCCCCAGATCCCCCAGGGGGAACCACCAGTCTTCCTTCCTTTCAGATTTTGCCTGTTTGTGGCTGTTTTTTCAGTAATGAGATTGACATGAAAGATGACAACCGCCTGAACCTGTTGCAAGATGGTACCTTGATGATCCAGAACACCAAGGAGTCGGACAAAGGCGTCTACCAGTGCATGGCCAAGAACATTGCTGGGGAGGTGAAGACACAGGAAGTTGTGCTGCGCTACTTTGGCACCCCATGTAAGTGAGCTTTGTGCACCCCTTTATGACCCAGCTGGGGACGGGGATGGGAGTGGAGATAAATCAGAGTCTGTCCAAGCTTTGTATGTGCCAAGATGTTCTTGGTGTGCTGAGGGAGAGAGCAGGGACAGCCAAGCGAGGCCTGAGCTTGAGGGGTTCCCTCTGGAGTGGGAAAAGGGTACTTAGGGATTGAAGGTAATTTGGGAGTTTGAAGTCTGGGTTGAATTCTGCAGCACAAGGGTGAAGAGGACACAGGCATGGGGATGCTCCAGCACTGAGTGAGTGGGTGTGAGTAGGTGGAAGAAAGATGTTGGGGGCATTGCTCACGAGGATTTGGATGTGAGGGAAGAACCAGGGTGGGTTGCAGAGGAGTCCAAGCAACTTGTGTCCATCAGTGAGCAGGCAGCAGAGCTGGTTCCTAAGGCTTTCCTTTCCTTCCAGCCAAGCCCTCTTTTGTGATCCAGCCACAGAACACTGAAGTACTGATTGGGGAAAGTGTCACCCTGGAGTGTGGGGTCTCTGGGCATCCCCCTCCTCGCATCAGCTGGACCCTTGGCACGGGCTCCCCTTTGCCACAGGATTCCCATTTCACCATCACCAGCTCTGGAGGGCTCTTCATTCAGAACGTCACCTTCTCGGACCAGGGGCAGTACAACTGCAATGCCAGCAACTCCGAGGGATCCATCCAGGCCACAGCAAGGATCATAGTGCAAGGTGAGGGCTCCCAGGCTGGTCCTGTGAAGATTCTGTGACATTTCTGGGACACAGTGCTCAACCAGCAGGGTGTATTTGAGTTTTATGACTGGTTCTGCTCCCATGAATTCCCTGAATTTGCTGCCTGTTTCCTGCTGCTCAGTCACTGCTTTCCCTTCCAGATTCTCCCAGGTTTCTCGTCATTCCCACGGATCAGACAGTAACTGAGGGACAAAGCGTGGATTTCCCCTGCTCTGCTGAGGGTCACCCTCCACCAGTGATTACCTGGACAAGGGCAGGTACTGCCCCACTTGACTCATGGTTTCTCTCTCCCTGCCATCATCCATGGGGTGTGGGTGGGAACAGCTGAGCTGCTGGTGCAGGGTGGCGCAGTGGTGGCACAGGACAAACTGACCAGCACAGACCCAGTCCCATGAGGAGTTGTGTTGTAGATCACCAAGGATGGTGTTAAGCACTGAGGAAGGAGCATGTTGGGTCTCTGCCACAAGGAAAGAGTGTGATGGTTTTCATCAGTGTCAAACCCATGGAAAACCTCACACTTCTTCCTGCAGTGGCTTCCCACCTGCTCTGAAAGGCAAGGTCTGGACACTCCAGGTCAGTGGATATCAATCATAGAATTGTCTGAGTGGGAAAAGAGCTCTAAGATCATCATTTCCAACCTTTAACCCAACACTGCCATGTTCACCACTAAACTGTGTCCCTAAATGTCAAATCTAAATTTAAAAATTAACATTATATAATGTTAAATGTTTAAAAATGTTTATATAATTTAAAAATTAAATTAATTTAACATTAAAAAATGTTAATTTTTTTTTTAACACTTCTGGGGATGATAATTCCACCACTTCCTTTTGCAGTGCCACCACCATGTGCCAGCTCTGTGTCATTGTCCTTGATTTGCTGCCCTTGGGGAGCACATTGCAGAAGGGCACAGTTCACTGGCACTCCTCAGAGTTTTAACTTAGGGAAAAGGATTTGGGGACAACAGGTGGTGGTGAACTTTTAAAGTCTCAAATAATTGTTAATGCTGGCTCCACTGAACTGATCTCATCCAACACTTTCTGGGACAGAAGCCAGTAATGCTTGGCCCAGAGGTCCTCCAACTTTTCCTTATGCTTCACAAGCCATAATTAATGGTTTAGAGCTGTGGAGAGTTTGTGGGTATTGTGTTCCAGCTTCCACAGCAATGGCCCTGACGAGGAGTTAAGAAGGACCAGCTGAAATTCTGCTCTGCCAGCATGTTCTCCATCTCCTTTAACCTGTTTTCCTCCACTTCCCAGAAAATATATCTTAGGCACGTGGAGAGGAGCACAGTGACAAGAAGCAAGGTTCATAACTGCTTTGTAACCAGGTTTGCACTCAGCACTCCATAAATAAAAAAGTCAACCAAGCTTTACAGTCCTTTCACGTGCTAAAAGCAAGACAAGAGGAGGGGCAGTGGTGAAGCATTGCTCATCTCAAAGCCTTTTGAGAGTGTGGGGGGTTTTAGTGTTTGGGATGAATAAACAGAGGATGAATAAATGGATGAAAATTTGGTATACATATATATAAAAAAAATTGATAACCTGACAAATTTTGATAATATTATCTGGGTCTGTTAAAGCAGTTGTTTTCAGCTTTTCTCCTGAAACAGAGAAAATATTAAAACAACTGTTTCCAAAACAAAAAATCAGACCAACAAATTTAGAAGGGCAATACCAAATGTTCTCATTTATTTGATGAAGCAGAGAGTTTGGATAATTGGTGATTTGCTATCCATCAGGGGTAAAAAATCTGCAGGTTGCACTAAGAAAATACTTAGAAGGAAGGAAAAAAGCTTCTAGCTCTTCCCAGCTGACCAGACAAGACAACTCAGTGTGTAAAGGTGATATTTCAGGGCAATTGATGCTGGGAAGGGAATGAAATGTGTGACTATCACACAGACCCTCCAGTGATGGTGATGCCTTCAAAATCTAGAAACAACACAAAACACCTCTGAGACAATATTAATATAGGAAATAATATAAAAGCAGGTCTTTAGCCGGAGGCATCCATGCAAACATGGCAAATTGCACACTGAAAATGTGCTGGAAATGCACATGTGGCGAAGCACATGTGACATGGGGCAAGTACAGTTTTATAAGTTCAGCAAATTAGCATCATTGACTAGAATCCCCAGTTAGAAACACAGGTAATGGAGTAATTCCCCCTCTTGTTTCAGCCCCTTCTGAACCCCCCTCCTTGATGGTTGTTTTTGTCTAATACATGAGAAGGTGTCTTGGGAAGGGGTCTTGTCCTCAATTCCCATAAGAAGCAAGATCAGAACTGGCCCTCAGGAATTTGTTTGTCCAATAGGAAAAGTGCTGGAGTTAGGAAACTCTATAACGACCCACTAACATCCTCCAGAGCCACGAGTAGATGCGAAGAACACATAAAAGCAAAACTCCCTTTGGCGTCGATGGGATGAGGATGGGATGGGATGACTCTCAGAGGGAATTAACAGGAATTAATGAGAATTAACGGGAATTAACGAGCTGCTCCTCCGCCCAGGTGGGCCCTTGCCGAGTGACCGGCGGCACAGCGTCCTGTCCACGGGCACGCTGCGGGTGGGCCGGGTGGCCCTGCACGACCGCGGGCAGTACGAGTGCCACGCCATCAGCGCCATCGGCGTCGCCACCCGCGCCGCGCAGCTCTCGGTCACCCCGCGAGGTGAGCTGGGCACGGGGGGCTGGCAGAGGTGTGATGGTAATTTGGTTTTATGGTAAATAACCATCTGACCCCTCTCCTATGGGATGGGATTTTGCTCTTCGCTGGGAGGCCTGGCCATGAGTGCTCCATCAGCTGGTGGGAAGTGTGAGAGAGGTTTCCCGAGAGCCAAGGTTTGCAAATTGGAATAAGCTGCTGCAGTCTGGGAGTTGTCATTGAGAAAATTCCTTTAGTAAAGGAAAAAATGGATAATTTAAAACAAAAATAAGTGTATTAATTAAATCCTTACAAATAAATATATATTTTAAATTTTGTGTTTCCTATAGAATTAATTGTAAAATTCTTTTTCAAGTAAAACATTCTGCAAAACATAATGTTTTATTCTAGCAAACATTTAACTCTGGCTCTTTATACTTAATACTCTCACGCATTCCCTACCAGGTCATAGGTTCAATCTAACTTCAGGTTTTCTAAAATCAAGACTCTGTAAAACACAAGACACACAGGGATGTGTCTTGCTTTTTTTTTAAAATTTTGCTTAATTAAAGCTTAATTTTTTATTCTCAATTTTTTAAAAGCTTTTGCTTTTTTTTCCCCTTATAAATTATTCTTTTAAATAAGCAAATTTCCCTTCTTATTCACAAACAGGGCAGGGTTTTACTAATGGCAGACTGGAAGGAAACTCTCTAGAAGCATGAAATTACTGAAGCTTCAAGCACAGAAGTCATAGAATATTTTAAGACCAGCAAGAGCAATATAATTACTTAATCTGGCCTGACTAACACTTTGAGAGAGCCTCATCCAATAATTCCTGAAGCAAGTCATGATCCCTGCCCCAGCTGGGGCATCTTTTCTAGAAAGCCTTTGAATTAAGTATTTTAAATGATGCAGCACATTCCTGTGCAATTGCCCCAAGTGGAGATGCAGAGGAGCAGAAAATAATGAACATAGATTACATAAATTTGCGAACAGAGAGCTTGGTAGCGAGACAGAGAGCACAGGGCGAGCTGCTGCCCCTCTGCAGAGCCCTTGCAAGAGCAGCAGCTCAGCAGCTCTGCTTTTCCTGTGCTGAGATGGTTTTGGGTTTTTTTTACACACAGGTTTCTCTATTTTCCTTGATGCATTTTTCACCCCAGTGATTTTTTTCCCCTGTGTTGCACAGTGATCCCGGTGTTCCTCCGTCCCCCCCAGGACCTGGTGGCAGAGACAGGCCAGGACGTTGCCATTTCCTGCGCTGCCCAGGGGGACCCTCGGCCCACCATAACCTGGGTCAAGGTACGTGGTGATTGCACATCCCTGGGGAGAGGGATGGCTCCTCTGGGGGAGAATTAAACAACTCCCCCCTTCAACACCTCTCACAGCTTCATTAGTTTTGCAATACGTGTGAATAAAGACCAGCATTTCCACTGATTTGGGTTTTTAAAGAGAACATTTCAGTTTCTCAGGCTCAAAGCCTTGCAGTAAATATTCTCCTGTTCTTCCTTCCAAAAGAGTCACTTGAAGCCAGTGACATTCCAGGATAAGTACTTGATTCCTGGGGAAAAAAATAAACCATCTGAAAATTGATTTTTTTTTTTTTTCCTAAGTAGTTTGTCCTTATATCCAGGATTCCTGCTGATGGTGTTGAATGATGCTTGTTGGCTCCAGCTTTGACAGGGCAGAGCCATACTCCCTCAAAATCACACAGCAGCCTGGCTGCTCTTTCCAAGAATTAATTAGATGAAGTTCTTCTGACTTTTCTCCTGCTGTTCTGTAGTACAACACTTGGGACCCCCCTTGTTACCTGCCCTGCCTTGGAGCACAGTCAGGCACAGAAATGCTTGAGCCACACTTCACAAAATTGGTGGGAGGTGAAACAGCTTTCCTTCTTTGCAGCTTTCTGTGGGCTCAGCCAGCAGTGGGAGCAGAAGGAAAGGCCCTGAGAGGGCAGCAGAGCAAGCTTTAGGTTGTGGCAGGGCAGCAGAAAGATGTTAAGAATCAGGAGAATAAAAAAGTAAAATTTAAAGTCACTTCTGCCGCCAGCCTGGCTGAGAGGCTGGGTTTGAGTGATGCTGTCAGAACCAGCAAAAGCTGGGATCTGCAGATCAAGGCCTGCAAAAATCCATCAGTTTCAGGCTGTCCTAAAAGAGGAAACATTTCAACTTAATTCTGTGCCATGAAACTTCTGTGAGGGCATCAGGGCCTGGGACTTGTTCCAGCCATCCTGTTTGTGTGGGGTGTCTGTGTGGGGACAACCTGTGGGGACAACCTGTGGGCCAAGGGAAGGAGTCGAGCAGGGACCTCCTCACAGCAGGAACAGGTGTCCTCAGACTGCGCTCTGGTTTCTCTGGAAGAGCAATGCTAACATCTGGTGGCCACATTTGTTCATCACATCCATGCCTGGGTTTGCTGAGCAGGCTGGAAGCTGGGCTGGTGGGAAGCTTTCCGTGCTCTGACACAGCTTCTGTCTTTTGCTGGTGCAACAGGAGGGCATCCAGATCACAGAGAGTGGCAAGTTCCACATCAGCCAGGATGGGACCCTCTCCATTCAGGACCTGGGTGTGGCTGACCAGGGCAGATACGAGTGCATAGCAAGGAACCCCTTTGGCTTCACCTCCAGTGCCATGCAGCTCACCATCACCGGTACCGTATCTCCCCTGAGCCCTCTCTGGCTCCCCTGTAAGGAGGTGCTGTGCTCTGTTGACAGCTACACTTTGAGCAGATAATTATGTAAGAAATTATTTCTTCAGCTTCTTTGCAGACAGGTCCCTTGGATTGGAGTCACCTCGTTGTGAAAGCTCCCAGCTGCTGCCCCTCGCTGTTTGCTCAGCTGAGCTGCAGTTGCTCCCTGCAAAGCCAAAGGTCTTGTCTTAAACCTCCTCCTGCAAGCCCAGCTGTCAGTGTCTGTGTAGTTATTGCCTCTGCTGGGAGGGAGAAATTTATTAAAATGTGCCAGCGTGCTCACAAATCATCATCTGACCAAAACCTCACATGCCAGGGAAGGGAGGAGCAGAACAACATTGTTACTGAAAATAGGGGGTTAAAATGTCTGCTCAGTCATAGAATCATAGATTCACAGAATCACTAAGGCTGGAAAAGACCTCCAAGATCATCAAGTGCAACCTTAGACTGTGTACCCCCTGTTGGGAATGGAAACTAAGTCTGGTTTTCAACCTCCTGCTCTGTGTTAGGGAAGCAGTAATGAACAAGGAGGAGTAGTTCTCCTCTGCTGGTCAAACCAGAGGTCAGGAGTAGAAACTGAACCTCTTACAGGGTAAGAAAAATGACAAAGGGAAAAAAGAAATCAAAGGCAAGCAAAAAAGTTTAAAATATAAGTAAAGAGCTGTTCCAGCTGTAGCCAGAATTGATAGTGGCTCACTTATTGGAAGAATTTACTAACATTTTCAGTACAGGGGTTGTAAGCAAGGAGCTGAAAATGGTCAGAAATGCCTTTGTTGTCTGAAATAATCCCTGAGATAATTTCAGTGGTATATTCTTGATTGGTGCTTCATTCACCACCTGGCTGTAGCATACACCAGTAGCCAGCTGGGAACTGGTTTGTTCAAATGTGACAAAGGCCCTGGCTTAAAAAATGCATCCTGTAGTAATTTTAAAGAAGTGATCTCTTTACTTCTGAAGGTATTCCAACAACAACTCTGGTATTTTTGATTTAAAATGATGTAGCAGATGTGATAACACTAAGTTTGAACTATTATTATCATAAATATCTATTAATTACTGCCAATAATTAATAAGTGTTCCACAAAGAGAAAATTAATGTATGAGCAATATATTTTAATTAATTTCATTAATTTGAGAAGTACCTTTGTGGGAAGCAAATATATTATTTTTGGTTAACTCACTGTGATTTTTACATTTTCTTTTTGCAGTTTAACCGCTAAAAACCAAAACAGATTGGTTTTTTGCAAAGCTGTACAGGAGAAAACTCTGAATGTGTGTCCACAGACATCTGAAAAAGTCACCTTCCTTTTCAGGCAGTTCACATTCTTCAGAATATCTGTCTTAAAAAATAAATCAATGCTGTTCATATTACAACGATGTTTGCTCTGCATGGAGGTCTCTCTGGTGCTGGTGCACAGATTTTCCTGAGCTGAGAGGGCTGATCAATATCGAAGCAAACTGAGGGTGTTTTGTTGTTTCTCTGTGCTTTGGGCAGCCACGGATGTGGGTCGGAGCGGGGACACGTTTGTGGCCACGTCGCTGCGCGAGGCCATCAGCAGCGTGGACCACGCCATCAACTCCACACGCACCGAGCTCTTCAGCAAGTAAGTGTGGGAAGTGCCTCGAGCTGGGGCCTGAGGAAGAAAAGTGATAAAAACCCACAAGAAATGAAGCTTGCTCAAAGCTCATTTTATCACTGGCAGCCTGCAAAGGAAAGCTAGGGGATTGTTCCCACTGCTGGAGGTTGAAGCTGCACCATGTAGGATGTGATAGAGCTTCCCAACAGGTTTGGGATTCTGGAAAAATGAGATGCACGAGCATCATCTCTTCTGTCACTTCTAGCTGTGCTTTGTCAGCTGGAGTTGGTTCTGGAGATAGTGAATAAAAAGGAAAATAATCAGAGGAGTCATTTTATGAATGGAACTGACTTTGTGGAGGGTGAGCAGAAATAATAATATAAAAATTCCAACCATTTCCTCAATAAAAAATAAATTCTCAAGTGAATATGATTCCCTCCTTTTCTACCCCAATATATGTTTTTATTGGAAGGATGGACAGCTTGTATTAAGCCAGAAACCCTCTGTGTTTCAGCTGTTGAAAAGTGAAAAAATAAATTACTATCACAGAAAAAAAGAGACACTGAGGGAATTAAATTTGTGCATTTTCCTGGGAAAAAATATCCTTTCTTTAATCATCTGCAATGTGCAGGCAAGCCACGTTGCTCTTACACATTAATTTGGGGGCCAAGCAATAGACCAGCTTAGAACCTGACCTTTGCTGCTTGTAGGGTCTCACTGCCCTGAGCAGAGCTGATTAATTTTAATGATCCTGCATCACTTTTAATTCCTGGAAATAGGCGCCCCAAGACTCCCAATGACCTCCTGGCTCTGTTCCGCTACCCAAGGGACCCCTACACCATCGAAACAGCCAGGGCAGGGGAGATCTTTGAAAGGACCCTGCAGCTGATTCAGGAACATGTGCAGCAAGGGCTGATTGTGGACATGAATGTCACAGGTAGGAGAGATTTAATTTCCCTTAACTTTGTGTAGATGTGGAGACATCCAGGAAGTTTAAAATGTGCAGTGGTATATCAAAAATCCAGATAAATGTTGGGTATATCAAGAAATGTGTTGTCTGGCTGGCAATTCTTTCCATATCTCACAGGTTTTTTTAACAGCTGAAGGGCTGGTCTTGTATTCACTGAACCAATTTGATACCTAGGAAAATGTTTTAATTCCCTGTTTTGGTAAAGGTTTCTTAGATGGCTATAAAAGCCCTATTCCTCAGAAAAATATGAACCATCTAACTGATAAAGGAACATCCTTGTGGGTCTGAAGTTCAGACCCTCAACAACATGGTCTGAGATGTTTCCTGCCCTCCAGATAGCAACAAGAACAGTGCTGGGAACTCTGAGGTATTTGGGTGCTGTAACAGAGGAAGTGGGATATCCCTTTTCAGTCTCTGCTTCTTTGACCTCTTAGCTACAAACTCAGGTAAGTCCCAGCAACTCAGATTCTTTCTGTTGAGCTAAGATAGCAAACAACAAAGTAATGTAACAGCAAAAATACCTAATGAGGCAATCATGCAGCAGCTGGACCCCAAAACTTCCTACCTGGCACTTCCTTGATATACAGCGAACTTTCCCGTACACTGTGTACTTCTGCCTATACGTGTGATTCATCATGGAGCAGGCATGTGTGTTTGGGGCCTGTAAATATTTTTTCCTGGCTGGATGTATTCCAGAATGTGAGAAGTCTCTCTCCAGGCAACAGGTCTGGGCTGGGCTGGTTGGACTGCCAGCCTCTCCTCCTCATTGCCCTGTCAGCATCCACACAATGCAGCATCATTCAGCTCTTTCACACGGCCCAGCAGCGCCCTGGCAGTCACCCACAGCTTCCTGCTGCTCGTCACGTAGAGCTGGGGTGGGTGATGGAGCTTGTGGTGGCAGCAATAACCCAGGGAGCCATAAAATAAACCTAGAATAGAGACCAAGACCACCCCCATAGCTTCCTCTGCCAGTCACAACATTTCTGCTTTCCAGCTCTGTGCAGTTAAACTCTTTTCGCTTTCTTTTTTGTTTTGTGGGCCTGATGTGATGCCATGCTTCCTTTGCTTCCCGTGAATTCCACAGCAACACCATGCTCAAAGAGCCAGCTGTCCTGTGCCCATCCTGAAAGGGGTTTTCACACAGAGCTGTTCCATGGGACAGTGGGAATCAGGAGGCTGCAGCTGATGCCTGACCTGGTGCTCTGCCCTTCCCTCTGCAGGCTATCGCTACAATGACCTGGTGTCCCCTCACTACCTGACCATGATCGCCAACCTGTCGGGCTGCTCTGCCCACCGCCGCACGCCCAACTGCTCCGACATCTGCTTCCACAAGAAGTACAGGACCCACGACGGCTCTTGTAACAACCTCCAGCACCCCATGTGGGGTGCATCCCTCACAGCCTTCCAGAGGCTCCTCAAACCAGCCTACCAGAATGGATTTAACCTCCCCCGAGGGTTTTCCTTGGCAGAAGACGCCAGGGACCTGCCCCTTCCTCTGCCTCGCCTTGTCTCCACTGCCATGATCGGGACAGAGACCATCACCCCTGATGACCAGTTCACACACATGCTCATGCAGTGGGGCCAGTTCCTGGACCACGACATGGACCAGACGGTGGCAGCCATCAGCATGTCCCGTTTCTCAGACGGAGCCCCTTGCAGCGAGGTGTGCAGCAATGACCCTCCCTGCTTCTCCATCACGGTCCCTGCCAACGACCCCCGTGTGCGGAACGGGCGCTGCATGTTCTTTGTGCGCTCCAGCCCCGTGTGTGGCAGCGGGATGACCTCTCTGCTGATGAACTCTGTCTATGCCAGGGAGCAGATCAACCACCTGACATCCTACATCGACGCCTCCAACGTTTACGGCAGCACGGAGCAGGAATCGCGGGAGCTGCGGGATCTGGGCGGACAGAAAGGGCTGCTGAAGCGAGGGCCAGTTGTACCCAGCTCGGGCAAGCACCTCCTTCCCTTTGCCGTGGGGCCACCCACGGAGTGCATGAGGGATGAGAATGAGAGCCCCGTGCCGTGCTTCCTGGCAGGAGACCACCGTGCCAACGAGCAGCTGGGGCTCACGGCCATGCACACGCTGTGGTTCAGGGAGCACAACCGCGTTGCCGCTGAGCTGGCTGCCCTCAACCCGCACTGGGACGGGGACCTCCTGTACCACGAGGCGCGGAAGATTGTGGGTGCCCAGATGCAGCACATCACCTATGCCCAGTGGCTGCCCAAGGTCCTCGGGGAGGCTGGGATGAAGATGCTGGGTGAGTACAAAGGCTACGACCCCAACGTCAACGCGGGGATTCTCAACGCCTTTGCCACGGCCGCTTTTCGCTTTGGGCACACCTTGATCAATCCCATCCTGTACCGGCTGAACGAGACCTTCCAGCCCATCCGACAAGGCCACATCCCCCTGCACAAGGCCTTCTTCTCCCCTTTCAGGATCATGCAGGAGGGGGGGATTGACCCCCTCCTCCGTGGGCTGTTTGGGGTTCCTGGGAAAATGCGGGTGCCCTCTGAACTCCTGAACATGGAGCTGACAGAGAAACTCTTCTCCATGGCACACTCTGTGTCGCTGGACTTGGCTGCTATCAACATCCAGAGAGGGCGAGACCACGGCATCCCACCCTACAACGACTTCAGGGTCTACTGCAACCTCTCCTCTGCGCCGGAGTTTGAGGACCTCCGAAATGAGATAAAGAACTTGGAGATCAGAGAAAAGCTCAGGAGGTACTGTAGCCTGGATGTGGAAGGATCAAAATTACTGGAGACCAGTCAGTGAAAAGTTCCTGCTTCTTCCAGTACACCCATGGAACAACCTTCCCAGATATTGCCCCCCAGAGATGTTAAGATAGGGTAATAACCGAGGTTTAACAATGGGGTAAGACAAATGACAGGTCTTTATCCTATTGTCTTTTAGATAAAACCATTAAAAATATTGTCCAGCAGAGTTCCTGACATACACATTTCTATGCTGATATCAGATTTATATTATCACCACTCCTTGAGAGCCTCATAATTTATTTTTTTTTTTACTATCCTGCAGTTTATATGGAACTACCAAAAATATTGACCTGTTTCCAGCACTTATGGTGGAGGATCTTGTCCCTGGGACCAGAGTGGGACCAACACTGATGTGCCTGTTAACAACTCAGTTCAGAAGGCTGAGGGATGGAGACAGGTATTGCCACTGGAATAATCCCAAATCCTTTGGTATTCTCTTTGGGAGGTTTTTCGCCCTACAGGAAGAAGCAGAATCTGTAATGTTTTATTATTTATTTTCTTTCAATATGAGGAACAGCATTCTCCTTCCAGTGTATTTGCAAAAACACTTGTCACAGTTACTGTTAAGGTGTTCTTCCTTGATTTAATGATTCTCATTTCACTGCAGAACACTGGGAATCATTGAGGATTTTCCCAATATCTCATGAAAATCCTAGAAAATGTCCACAGGAGCTTCTTTCTAATCCTTGTTTGCTGCTTGTGTGAACGAGATGTCTTTGCCTGGTGATGCACTTAGGGCAGGAGCACGGGGGTTTGTGGGCTCAGAAAAAGCCATCTGTGTTTGCAGCCACCTGACACCAGAGCAGACGCTCATTTTACAGGGGTGTGGGTGCTGCCACACAGATGTCAGGGAGCTCTTTTTCCTCTCCCAACCTCACTTACTCACTCACTCACTCACTCACTCACTCACTCACTCACTCACTCACTCACTCCCTCCTCTCCCAGTCCTGAGTCATGCTGTGATTACACCCCACTGCAGATTCTGGTATGAGAACCCTGGAGTCTTCACGCCGGCACAGCTGACTCAGATCAGACAGGCGTCCCTGGCTCGTGTCATCTGTGACAACAGTGACCACATCCAGCAGCTGCAGAGAGATGTGTTCCAGGTGGCATCATACCTGCAGGGCATGGTCAGCTGCGAGGAGATTCCTGCCGTGGACCTCCGCCTGTGGCAGGACTGTTGTGAGGGTAAGGAGGGGGCTGCTCTGGCACTCACTGATGTGAGCATCACTCTGGCTGGCATTTGTCACATGCCTCAGAAGATTTTATGAAATTGTAGCTTATTTCTGTCTGTACCATGAGACCCCTGTGTCAGTAAATGGGTGCAAAGAGAACTGAATATAGAATAGGAACGGAACAGAACGGAACAGAACAGAACAGAACAGAACAGAACAGAACAGAATAGAATAGAATAGAATAGAATAGAATAGAATAGAATAGAATAGAATAGAATAGAATAGAATAGAATATTTCAGTTGTAAAGGACCTGTAGCAATCATGCTGTCCAACCTCCTGACCAATTTAGGGCTGATCAAAAGTTAAAGCAAATTATTAATCATGCCTTAATTCTTATTATATCCAAATGCTTCTTAAACCCCAAGAGGTTTGAGACATTGGCCACCTCTCCAGGAAGCCTGTTAGCTCTGTTAGCTTCATTTAATCTGTCTGAAAGTCTACCTCGTTGAGGGCTTTGGTCTCTGGCTGAGAGAGAGAGACTGAAACAGGACATGATCCCCACCATGTGCCACTTCACAGATTCATTTGGGAGCCTAAATCTCTGCCATTAAACCTCAGATCCTGCCATGGTCCCTTTGGGCTGCATTCTGGTTCAGATGTCCATTTGAGACATGGTAATCCATAACTGATGCACGCCCTTTTCCACACCTTTGTTGCCTCCTTCCCTCTGGCCCAAGAGATATGTCCAGGGTGGATGGTGCAGGAGGGCAGCTCTGCCTTGAGCTGCTGCAATTCATGGAGTCCTGCTTTAAACACCAGTGCTCACTGCAGACTTCCCCTTCCTTCCCAAGACTGCCGGACACGAGGGCAATTCAGGGCTCTTTCGCAGCGGTTCCGAAGCAAGAGGTCACCTGGCTTCAGCTACCCGGAGGAAAACCCTGCAAAGCACAAGCCTGCCTCGCCCAGGTGTAGTATCACCCCTTCATCTCCATTTTATGGAACAGAAGTTTTAGTAACTCGGTCCGTTCAGGCCTCTGAATCTGCTTTGCAGAGGTCTGGGGTCAGGGGTGGATCAGTAGAGAGATGCTGAGCTCAGCCAGTCCTCCACACTTCAGTGCAGAGCCCAGCTCTGATGTGCAAATACCTGGGCCAAGGGGATCTTTGGCTGGCATCTCTTGGCAGGTGATTCTGGCACTTGGGCCCTTGCCTTTGGTGCTCACTTGGAGGCTGATGTTGGAGAAGGCAAAATGATTCCCTCACCTAGGGAGCTGCTGTTTGCATAACCCCTTTCACTTTTTATCCCTGACCCCAGAGACGAGGCACCTTCTCCAAGCTCTTCCTCCAGAGAGAATCTTGAGTCCCTTGTGGCTGAACTGGAGAAGACAGTCACTTCCCTACGGAAACAGGTAAAACCTGGTGCCCCAATGCCTGCCTTTCATGGAGTCATGAACCTCAGTGAAGAAAACTTGAGCCAGCATTTTCTTCTTGTATTTGGGACAGGTTAAAGATAAAGATTATCTGTGCAGTGGTGCAGACTCCTCTCAGGGCTGCTGCTTTCTCACCCCCAGGTGAATGCACTAGAGAGCCAGCTGAGGTGGCACCACAGGAACATCAGCACACGTGGACAGGGCAAGAGGACTGGGGACAAATGGAGAAAAAGATGACCATGTTGCCTCCTTGTAAAAGGTCAGTGTGTTTGTTCGGGGCTGGGCCCCTGCAGGGTCATCGTGAGGGGCACCTCAGCAGTGTTCCCATGCTGGAAGGAGTGGAGCAGTGAGGTGATGAATGGGACATGAGGTAATAGACTTAAACTCAGCAGGTCAGACACTCCTTTCTGCTGGCAGTGATTAGTGACTCACTGGAATGGGCTGTCTGGGGACAGATCCATTCCTGGAGGTCCTTTAAGAACTGGTTTGGCAAAGATGGGGAAAGACATAAGTATAGGATGGACCAGGTGAGTTGGGTGAGGTCTCTTGGGCCTATTCTCCTGGCACTCTGGGTAGGTTTATTCTAACAGCATTTAATGTCATAACCCCAAATCCAACAGCTTGGAAGGACCTTTGTGGGGAGGGATATAACAAAGCTCGGTGATGGAGTGGATGGACTGGTTCCTTCCCAGGGGAACAAGGACATCTGGGAAGATGGAGCAATCCATCATTTGCTTACAAACTGGCAGAGATTTCCCCTTCCCCATCTGAGTCACTGTGCTCCTCACTCCTGAAGGCACCAGTCCTCTGTTTGTTGAGCCCAAGCCAGGGCAGCACAGCTGTGAGGTGCCTGTCATCCCCTGCCAGCCTGGGGACTCTCAGCAGTGACACAGTCCTGGCCAGAACTCGAGTTCAGGTGTTCGTGGGCATGGGGCACACAGCCTGAGCTCCCTTCTCCTGCTTCCCATGGAGATCCCTGCAGCCTTGACAGAGAGGCTGAACAGCTCCCTGGCACCTGCCAGTCTGGACAAGGTGTGAATGGGTTTTATGTGTTGTAAATGATTACTTCAGGGGCAGGAGCAGAGGAGTTTTGAGAAGTGCAGCTCTGCCAGGCAGTCAATACTAGGAGGAACATTCATTCTCTGGAAGTTAGATTGAAGGATGGGGCAAGTGAAGGCTGGTCTGTGCTGATGAGCACACCAAAAAGCAGAAAGGGAAAGCCTGGGGGCTGGCCAGGCTGTTTGTCAGCATGATTTGGTGTTTTGGTCTTTACACATTTTCCACTCAGTGACTCTGCTTCAGAAATGTGACAGAGTGCAGAGTGATATATGAATTGGTTTTTCTTTGCCATTGTTTCAGGTCCTTACTGAGGACTGGGTTTACAGGATCCCTGAAAAGTGTTACTGTGGTTTAAAGGTTTTCCTGCCCCAGACCTGCCAGGCACTGTACAAACAGCTCACTCTGCCTCCAGCTGATCCTACAGAGCTTTTCTGCTTTCTTGTGCCATTTCAGGTGCCCTGTGACCTGCACTCGTGCTCTCCACCAGCCAGTCCAGCCCACCCCAACAGGGCTCAGAGAGCCACCACGAGACCTCCCCGATGCTGTGCCTGCTCTCACACCTCCTGTACCACTCCCTGTCCCAGGACCACTGTAGTTTTCCTGTACTGAACCCTCTGCACTGACTGTCTACGAGCCCCTCAGCCCCTGGACCCTTCCTGCCCTTGTCAGCCTCCCAGGGATGGGCTCTGCCCTTGATGGTGACAGCCCAGAGTCTGCCAAGGTGCCTCTTTCTTCCTCAGCATCCAGGAAATAGAGACAAATTGAAGCTGCTTTAATGCCACTGTTGTGCTTTGCTCCTCTTTCCACACACTGCTGTCATCACCCACCAACCCTTGTCTGAGCTGTCCCGTGGACACCCATCCAAAACAATTCATTTAGAGACTAAACCTATCTCAAATGCACTGTGCTTCCAGGAAACATCTGGAGAAATCAGCAAAGAAAAAGAATAAAGGAACATGAAGTCCAGAAGAAACCCCAGCCATCTTCTGATGCCATCAAAAAGAGCAAGTGGAACCTCAGGGTTGGGTGTTTCAGCATGGGGTGCCAGGCATGGCATGGCCACCCTCGATCTCCAGCTGTGCTTTGCCAGTCCTTGGTGACAAGTGGCACATCCCATGACCCCAGAGTCACCTACCATTCCTCAAAACCATTTTCCTCAGCATGACCTGCATTACCCAACTTCCTGCCCCTTTAGGGGCTTAATTGGAATTATGCTCTTCTTCCTTTTTTTTTTCCCCTCCAAAAAGGCTCTTTGCTGGAAGATGTATTTTGAGTGTAAACGTAACAGGACCTGGAACAGAACCCCAGCTAATTAGGTGTAATGGGCACTCTTTTTAGTGTAGGGGAGCTGCTGGTTTCTGTCAATTAGGCTGGGAGGCCACGCTGTGGTGTTTGACATGCGGGTGGATGCAAAGTGCTGTTTGTTTTTGTGGCTCCCTGGTGCAGCCAAACCAGGGCTGTGCAGGCAGCTCTGCTGCTCAGGTCTGCTGGTTTCGGTGCTCTGTGGAGGTGCTCTTTCGTGGTGCTAGAACTGAAGTCCCTGTGTACCCACCACAACCCCAAATCTGTGAGCAGATTGGTTTTTAATTCATCCTTGTAAGTTGGTCACAGGGACTGAAGAGAAAGTACTTGATCCCTTTGATACCTGTGCCTTCCTTTATCACTTTTCCTGCATCCTCCCACTTTCTTTCCCACAGCACAAGGACCAGAAACTTTTATGAACATGCTTTTTCTTCTTCATTATTTTTTAGGTGTTTTATAGTACCAAAAGGGATTCAAAGCAGCAGGGATGCTCCTGGAACTGAATAGGAAAATAATAATAATAAAAAAAAAAGATACTAGAAAAAGGTTGTGCTTTATCACCTCTTTCCTGGCATGGGGCTGAGCTGTATGTGTGTGACCTGTGCAGACAGAGGTTTGCAGGGATGAGTGTGTGCTCTGCATGTCTGGTAGGCTCAGCTCAGAGGCAGTATTTAGTCCTCAGGGATGTTTGTCATTTGGAAGTACTCTTTCATTTAGGTGCAAATCAAGATCCAAAGCCCTGCGTGTTAGAAATCAGCTGCACTCGTCTATCGCTGGTACCACTGGAGAATCTAATCTGGCAAAGGTCAATAAAGGTAGATCAGTTCAGTCTCCTTTTGCAGACCAGAAGTTCAGTGAGACCTCATTCAAAACAGTGAGGCACAAATGTTCTGTGCTGGATCTGATCTTTTTTAAAGGCATAACCAGGCAGCTTCTTTTGCTCCTGATGGAGTGTGACGTGAGGAGCACACTTGTCACGAGGGCTGCAGAAGGACAGCAGAGGGGGTGTCCCTTCCCTTTGGTTTGCAAACCCTTTTGTGCTCCTTCATCAGTTCCCTTCCTCACACTGAAGTGAGAAAAACACACAGAGACATTACAAAGTGGGAAAAATGTACAGAGACATTACAAAGTGTGAAGAATGCTTGGAGACTTTGCACATCCCTGTGTTGCACTGCAGGTGAGGCTGTGAGCTGGGCAGAGGGAAGACCTTGGGGGACTTACCCATATATTCAGGTGCTACTTGGGTAAGGAGGGAGCAGAATATTTTATTAAAGACTCCCTTTGTTCCCTGTTCTCATCAGTTCAGGAGTGCATAGGGCACGCTGAGGAGTGCTCTGTACTCCTGCCCTCTGCCCTGAGCATCTCTGCCTGGGAGAGGGTGAGGAAATTGCTGAGTCCACAACCCAGACAGGGAAATCCTTTTGCATTTTTTTTGGCCATCATGGGACACCCAGGATGCAGGACACAGCATGTCTAGAGCTGTTGACCCAAGGGTGGGTCCAGCGTGTTCCTCATACCCCACTCGGTTGCAGCTGGGCAGCCCAGACTCCTACAATTAATTTTTTATTTTTCTTTTTAAGCAGCCTCTTTCAAATCCCAACCACACACCCAAAATGAGCTACACAGACCAACTACAAGCAGAGGAGAATCAAAATAATGGGCTTTAGGATTAGAGTTGCCAGGCACAAGACTCCCACTAATTAGACGGAACAGTTAAATGACAAAGTCCAGGTGGGCTGGAGGGTTGGAGTTAGGATTTCTCACCAGAACAGTGGTCTTCAGGTGGCTTAAAGTGCACATGGAATATGTGAGGGGGTAATCTCTGTCCTCTGGCTGATGGCTGTGGCATTTGGGAGGGGGGTTGGAGCCTGTCAGTGTCTGAGTGTGACCAGGGCTGGGGAAGCGTGGCTGTGGTGACACAGTGGGAGCTGGGGGCTGCATCCCAGGGCTTGGCTGTGGATGCCATGCAAACACCTGGGGCTGACTCAGGCCCTGCATCAGGCAAAGATCTCCTGATTCTGAGGGGGACACATCTCTGGTGGAAGCTGAGTGAGCAGCAGATCCTGGTGGATCTGGGATGTGAATCTAGCAATCCTCTGCAACAGGGAATTAGTGTGAGGAGGCAAATGCCTTAGTGGGGAACTCTGGGAGGTCATTGTAGACTGAAGGAAGAAAGGATCTCGTGTTATAAACCCCACAATGTCCACCCAGGAAACATCCAGACCCTTCAGATCTTTTCTAAGGTTATTTCCTTGATTCTGTTTTAACTCTCCCTCGTTTGTGGATGCAATTATTGTCCTATGGAAAAAAAAAATATCCTCCCACACAAGTGAGATGAAGACTATTAACTGGAGTCAGCCACTTGTGACAAGAGCTGCTTGAAGAACAGAGAGCTGCGTTTATGGTGCTCTGGTAAGAAGCAAAGAGCACACTTTAAAATAATAATTAAATAAAACAACAGCCGTTCTCCTCCTTCTTCGAGAGCAGCAAGCCCGGCTCCAGCTGTGCCTGTCTCCCAGATGTGCCCGTGGGTCTGAGCGTGGGACTCCTGCCTGCAGACTCGTCCCGCCTGCAGACTCGTCTCACCAGACGAACCAGTTTCACTTTCAGAAATAGGAAGTTGGCCGGGAAGGGCCGGCGAGCTCCCAGACGCGTGCGGGTAAGGCAGGATGAGCTTCCCGGCCGGCGGCAGCAGCCCCGCATCCCCCGTGCCCCCGGCCGTCCCCAGCGCGGTGCCATAGCCCCCCGCACCCACCGCATCAGCCGGCATGGAGCAGTTCGTCAGGAAGCGCCTGACCTTCCTGACATCCTTCTGGAACAAGCTCCGTCCCCGCTCCGTCACCGAGAGCTGCTCGCTGGGGTATCTTGGCTCTGATTCCGTTTCGCTCAACTCGGAGGCGACTTCCATTTCCTTCATCCCCAAGTCGTCTCTCTGTATCGCTTTGTACGCTTTCACAGCCCGCAGCGCAGAGGAGCTGAGCATAAGCGCAGGGGACAAACTGCGCGTCCTCAGGGAAGAGGGCGAGTATGTGCTGGCCCGGCGGCTGCTGGGGGAGCCGGCCATGGGCTACGTCCCTGCCGCCTACGTGGCCAACCTCAGCCAGGGCACCTCGGCTCGCCGCCCGTGAGTATCCCCCGGAGCCACGGGGGGATGGAGGCTGGGCTGGGGTAGCACATCCCCGCCCGGGGAAAGGCAGCGCTCCCCCTGCACAGCGCGGGCAGCGCGACATCCTCGTCCCCTGCTTCGGCCGTCCGCCCTCCCCTGGGCATCCCTGCCCTGCAGCCCGTGGCAGCGGGGTGGTGTTCGGCAGAGGAAGCGAGATTTGGGGAAAGGTGCGGGTGCCCCTTCCCGGCTGCATCACCTGCCACGGGATGGGACCGCTCCGGGCAGGGGTGCGGGTGGTGGTGGGCAGGATTGCAAAGGCTCCTGCTCGTTCCGGCTGCTTTCCTTCTTGTTAAAGGGGAGCCGGGAGCAAGGGAGGGAGCTGGGGACCTGGTACCTGAGCCCTGCCTGCTCCAAAGGGCTTGGGAGCACGGGATGCAGCATTTTGGGTTGGTACCTGCCGGGAAGCCCAGAGCTCTGTTGCTGCTGCAGCCATCCGGCTTATCCAGGGCCGGGGGCTTCCTCCCGGCCGGTGCCTCTTCCAGCCGACAGAGCTCGGGGCATGTCTCAGCCCTCTGGCAGCTGGGGAAAGCCCAGGCTCCTCGTTGCATAAAGCAGCCTGGTCCCGACACGCCGGGCAAAGCGCCCCGAGACACATCTGTTCCCTGTGCCCGGCCCTGAGTCACACCGAGAGCGGGCAGCGCGGGGCTGGGCCGGGAGGGGCACCCTGGAGAGCCCTCCGTGCTCGCCCTGTGCTGAGTGGGGTAAAGAGAGGAGCGGGAGAAGCCCCAGAAGGGTCCCCGGTGTGCAGGTGGGATGGGAGAGACCATCCCTGCGTGTGCTTTGAGGAAGGCAAACCCAGACCGGGCTGTGCTGGGACCACACCGGTGCAGACCGTGGGGTTGGATCCCTGCCTTATTCCCATGGCATGGGACAGGCTACAGCAGAATGTGTAGCACACACACAGGTGTGTGTACATGTGTGTGTACCTGTGTGTGTACATATGTGTGTACCTGTGTGTGTACACCTGTGTGTGTGTGTACATGTGTGTGTACCTGTGTGTGCACCTGTGTGTGTACCTGTGTGTGTGTACCTGTGTGTGTACCTGTGTGTGTACACCTGTGTGTGTGTACCTGTGTGTGTACCCTGTGTGTACCTGTGTGTGTACCTGTGTGTACCTGTGTGTGTACACCTGTGTGTACCTGTGTGTGTACCTGTGTGTGTGTACCTGTGTGTGTACACCGGTGTGTACCTGTGTGTACACCTGTGTGTACCTGT